TTCAGCCGGTTCCCTCGTGGATCGATCGCCTACGCGAGCGCGCCGACAAGGCCAGTCGCGATGGCAAGCGCCCGCGCCGGGACCCTCTGCCCTCGGCCCCATGGGCCCCACGCCGAGGCAGTCGGTTGATTACCCTCAGCCCTTGCACCAGCACCAGCAACATCAACAGCCTCCGCCTCTGCATCAGCAGCAGCAGCAGCAGCAGCAGCAGCAACCGCTGCCGCACCTCGGCGCCCCGGGCGAGATGGGCATGATGGCCACGCCGCCGGGCGAGAACTCGGGCCTCGATCCGGCGCAGCTCATCGGCCTGCCGGACATGAACAACGAGTTTGGTGATATGAACTGGGGCTTCTTCATGCAGGGGTACGACATGAACAACTTTGCCGGGTTCCCGCCCGGCTTCGGCCCTTTCCCGGCGGGGCCGCCTGACAACGTCGAGGTGCAGGGGGGGCCGCCCGTTTCCATGCCGCAGGCGCAGGGAGGCCCGTACAGGTAGAGGGGCACAAGGCAGGTAGCTGTATCGGTACGCCACCTGTCGGTTCAATTCCGGAGAGACAGGGGCAGGGCAGTCAGACGAAATCACAGTGGCGTCCATGGGTGGGAAGTGTAGCACGCTTGGCCAACCTGGAAGGGCCAAGGTAGGAATGATAATCACGACTCTGGACGGATCAATATATCTCGTTCACTCTATTGGGGATAGCGAGGGCGCAAAGGGGGAAAACGTATATACATTTTATACTTGTTTAGAAAGGTTACCTATGTACTTCTACGAACAGGACAATAATAGGAGGCAAGGGTGTGGGGATCAGTAATAGAATAGCCCCCCCCCCTCGGAAGCTACCAAATGGTGGGGTCGGCGGCGACATGTAAACGTTATTTCCCGTCCTTCTCATGCGAAAATTATGACATTTTTCCCGTGCCCATTCACGTCATCGTTTCCTGCTCTCTAGCAGTTTCCGGGTGTACCCACGGGGCCAGTCCACGTGGCCTCGAGGACGGTCGGCGTCGTGACACCGCACGCCGGCACGTCGACGGTCCTGTTGACCGTCTCGTAAATGTAGCCTTGGCCGCAGTTTTGCCTGCGCACAAACTGGTAGGTGACGGTCTGGCCCGCGGCGTCGAGGTCGACGTCAATGGCCCAGAGCGGCCGGGCGTCGGTGTAGCCGTCGGCGGTCAGGGGCTGGGCGTTCTCGACGTTCCAGCTGCCGAGAGACGGCGCACCGCCGACGACGTAGATGTCCTCGCCGTAGTAGGTCCTGGCGTCGACACGGAAGGTGACGGGCGCAGCGCAGGGGACCTCGCCAAGGTCGGGCGCACCAGCGGCGGTGGCAGGGGCATAGGTGCCCCGCGCGGACGAGGCGGCGCAGGTCGAGGGGATGGGCAGGTTGGCAGGGACCCAAGTGGGAGGGAACTCGCCGGCGCGGCGGGCGGCGGCGGTGACAAAGGCGGCGTAGGACCAGGTCAGGTCGCGGGCGCTCTGGGGCTCGAAGGGAGGGTCACGGTTGTACTGCTCGGCGAGGGAGCCGTCGGCCGGGGTGTACTTTTGAGCGACGGTGAGGAACGAATCGCCGTAGCGGTTGGCAGCCTCGACAATGACGTTGAAGGGAGCCTTGGGGTTCTTGGAGCAGGGGCGCTTGAAGGTGCCAACCTTGGCCTCGGGCCAGAGGTCCTGGAAGAAGGGCAGGGAGGTGCTGTCAATGGTGATGTAGCCGTGGGCCTTCCACTGGTGGGCGGCGTTGAAGAGGAACTCGCCAGCACCAAGAGTGATGAGGTACCAAGGGTTGCCGTTGTAGTAGATGTCCTCAGTGTAGCGGCCGATGGCAATGCCCTCGTTGCTGGGGATACCCTCGTTGATGGGGTATTCGGCAGGATCACGCCAGGCGTCAACCCACTGCTTGAAAGACGCCAAGGCGCGAGGGTGGCAGGGCTGAATGGTGGCACTGTCGCAGGAGGCGGCAATATCAAAGGCGGTGTTGGCGCCGAGCATGGTGTTGGCGTCCTTTCCGGAGCGCTGGGTGTTGGTGTTGATGTTGGCAATGTGGTGACGGCCGTTCCAGTAGCTGTCCGAGTTGAGGAAGCAGCCGACGGCAGGGGCCTCGTCGCAGGCGGCGCCGCACGTTGTGTTGAGGCGCTCAGCGAGCTCGGCACCCTCGATCAGAGCGCGGTACTGAGCCTGGGTGGTGAAGAAGCTGGAGCCGGAGACCTCCTCCCAGAGGTCGAAGCCGGTTGAGTTCCAGTACTGTCCAGTGTAGGCGAGATCGTTGGCAATGACGGGCCAGACGATGTCCCTCGCCTCTTCCTCGCCCTCGTCGCCCGAATCGGCGAGCCAGTTGGCCCAAGTGATGAGGGCGACGGCGCGCAGAGGAGGTCCATCCCTCTGGGGGCGACCCCAGGCGCCATTGAAGCGCGAGCCGTCAACCTCGTACTTAGCCTCGCCGAGACCGCGGCCGGAGGGCAGCAGGGCACCGGAGGGGTTGGCGACAGTCTGGAGGATGGCCTGGGCGCGAAGGTAGTCACGAATGTGCTTCTCGAGGTTGGCGTTGGCGACAGGGTCGTGGATGAACTCGTCGATGAGCATCTTGAAGGTCAAGGCCGAGTCACGGGTCCAAGTATAGTAGTCTAGTAGCCGAACCGTCAGCAACGAAACCTCCAAGTATGGCCATCCATGGCTCCGACTTACAGGGAGGGTCGGTCTTGGAGGGGCTTGCGATGACCAGGCCGGGGGCGGCGCCGGCAGCGGCACCAAGGTTGTTGAGAACATTGGTCAGTGACAGAGGGCGCTGCTTGGCGATGAAATCCTCGAGGTCCTGGCCAGAGACGGCGGGGATGGCCAGGGCAGCGGCCAGGGCCAGAAGCTGGGAGCGGAGAGAGACCATGATTCAGTTGGAGAGAAGGCCTTGGTTGAAGCTTTGCACAATGTCTGAGAAGGAGGGAACCCACGTGGGAGTGTTTGGGGGTCATGATGATCAAGCCATCTATATATACCTACGCGAGGCACTGAAGGTGACCACTTGTGGTATCCAACCTGGGGCCATGTATGTGAGGCTTCAGCTAGGGCCAGGTCGGGGCCAAGAAGTCGGGACGAAAGAACTGCCCAGGGCTCATGGCCCATGGTCCATGTCCGTGATCCTTGGCAAATCAACATATAATAGCGGAGCCTAGCGGAGGTGAGGTGTTCCGCCGAGGTACCGCAGAGGGTGGTTCAATTCGAAGTGTCTGGAGTTGCTGGAGTTGCTGTAACGGCTGCATGGTCATGGGGGCGTGGCAAGCCGTGGGCCGGCGTCAACGGCCGGCGCCTTGCTCCATTTGACATAAGTGGCCCAGCGCCAAGATAGTAGGCCCAAAAGATGGTACCTCGAGCGGCATGAGCATCAACACGCCGTGTGGCTAACAAACTTGTCGTACTTGGCTGTACAGAACGAAGCGGTTGGTAAGAGGCTGAGCAGATGAATGCTAACTCTCCTCAGCTGGTGTGCTCCGGAAGCCAAGACCAGGCCAGGCAGTCAGGAGAAGGCAAGCGCAGCAGGCCAGGGAACAAGCAGCAGGAGTGACTTGGATGGAAAGGAAGGAGGCTGCACCACCACGGCCCGACCATGGCGTTATTGTGGGGAGGAGTCTGGCCGCGGCGCTGCGGGGGAGGAGAAGGGGAGGGGGGGCTTGGGGGGCTCTCCCCTCCTGAATGCTTGTTGCCAACTGCCCCAGCTAGCGCCCTCGACGAGCCGTCTTAGTAGGTGAGGCGGAGGCCTGAAGACACTGGGCGAAGAAGCCCGTGTAGGGCTTGGACGGTGCTCCCACCTCCCTAACAAGCCTGTGCCTGTGCCTGTGTCTGTGCCTGTGCCTGTACCTGTACCTACGTCATGGATACCTCTTAGCGACTGCGGGGATCCTGGGGAACCTCATCCCCCTCGCGGCCTTTTCCACCGTTGTAGCCCCCGCCCCCTCATCACCACATCTTCTCCCCCATGCCCCCTGCCCGCAGCTTGGCCTCCATGGTACTAAGCTCTTGGGACGACGAGCTACATCAGACGATCGCCAGCATTGACCACTCACATCACCCTCAACCTCGTGCAAATCCACGGCCATATCCCGGTCATCGTCTGCAACGGCCAAATACCGGCTCCTCCTCAATTTACCCAGCATCGGCACCAGCACCAGCACCAGCACCAAACGAGAAAGCTCTCCTAGGAGGGGAGGGAGAGAGAAAATAGTAAAAAAAACTCCCCAGAATCTGCATGTGACCTCAATCGTCCCCAGCTTCAAAGCCCCCGAGCAATTCCCCGGCCATGTGTGCGCCCACCTTCCCCCTGAGGGAACCAATCTCTCACGGCCTCTTTCTGCCCACGAGCTAACGTAGTAACCAGCCTCCGCTGGTGCACACAACTTGACGAACAGTCACTTGTCCTTACCGGCCATTTCTTCACCCGTTCATCTGATCGTGTGGCGCACGAGAAAGATTCCTATTGAGGCTGCAATCTAAGCGCAGTGATGCAAGAACAGACGACGATCTCCTCCTACGCTCTGACCTAGACGACATTGCCACCAGGTTTCCTTAGCTCCTAATCCAGAACCATCATGTTGGACCCGGCCAGAAGCAATCATCCACCGTATCCTGCTTTGTCTCCCACCGAACCAAAAACTGTCTGCAATTTCGTATCCTAGCTCCATTCGGCTCCTTTCCGATTCTTTGCCCCGTCAGGCATGCTATGCTGGGTCGAGAGAGCCGTTGCGATCGAAGGCTGCCCAGGATTCCACCCAAGCTAACGCAAAAGAAGGGAGAAACAGCCTGGACTGGTCGGAGCCCCTCAATGACAGGGGCAAGAGCAGACCAGCCAGGCCGACCAGAAGGCTTTTGCCCGACATGCTGCGAAGCAGAACATTCAGAAAACACTAGCTCGCATCGAAAGAGCCAAGAAGAAGACATGACAGACAGAGCAGAAAAGCAAACAAGACGAAGGGGGAAAAGGGGGAGTGTGAGCTCGATGCAGACTTCTCCTTAGCATTCATGGGCCACGACCAACAACCTTGACCATCAGGTTCGACTGAATGAAAATACCAGCTGAGTATGACTTCATCGGCTCAATGGGGTCGATCAGCGAAAAGTCAAAGCGACGAAGAAGCTGCAACACATCGTCAGCATATCATCGTTTCTGTAAGTCTCCACCGATCATGTGCGAACCAACCTCGACGAAGATCTTGTTCAGGTCAAGCAGTGCCAGAGTCTTGCCGAGACACTGCCACTTTCCGTATTTAAACACCAGTTCCCATTGCGCTGTCATCGCCTTGAGCTCCTCGTCACCCGCCTCCAGCCAACGCTCTGGTCTGAACGTGTCGGCATCTGGGCCGAAGACAGCCTTGCTGCGGAGCACTCCGAAGGCTGACCACCCGATCTGCGTGCCCTCCGGGATGCTCATACCGTGCATGACATCACCTCCACGTGGTACTGCTACCGACATGAGGCCCGTGACGGGTGGGAAGACACGGAGGCCCTCACGGATGGTGGCCTGAAGATAGGGAAGCCTTCGCGCCTCGGCGTCCTGGACAGGTACTGATAGGAGACTTCTGTCACATGCGTCGCGTACCTCCTTGGCGAGGGCATTGTAGGCTGTGGGCGTCGTCATGAGATAGACCATGGTCATGCGCATGGCTGTGGCAGTTGTGTCCGAGCCGGCGAGAACCTGTACAAGCGCCTCACCCTCAGCTTCCTCAGGGGTAAGCCCATGGGCTAGGAACGAGCCGAGCATGTCCCTTTGGACCTTGCCGGAGGCAATGCGCTCAGCAACTACCTTCTTGGCCACGCTGTCGTTTTAGGGTCAGCATCGTTTGTCTACTGGTAGCCTTGGAAGCAGAATGGAAAGGAGGCCAAACCTACGCTATGAATTTGCCCAGACCCACACGGTCGTGCTCCGAGGGCATGGCACGTCGACAGAAGGGAGATTGCATAATAGCGGCTAGGCTGGGCAACACTGACAAGGTCATCATGACGGGCATGCTCTCTTCGGTGATTTGGATGTAGTTGTGTACGTCTCTGTCTTGCGAGAGGTAGCCAAAACACTCGCCAAAGGCCAGCGATGTGATGATGTCGAGGGTCAGGTAATGCATCTTGCTCGCAAAGTCCATGGGACGGAAGACACCAGACGTCGAAAGGTACCGTTCCTCGATCAACCGTACCAACGACAGCATCTGCACGTCGATGGCTGTCTCGAGGAACTCGTTCTCTTTGCCCGAATACTAGGAAATGATCAGTCATATTGCTGAGAGGGTAGGCAGTCGCCCTTGACCAGCAAAGCAACGCAGAATGGGAAATAGAGAAGACCCGGTGTCCAACAAAACAGGGGCAGTACTTACGCCAATGGCCACTTTGGCGCGGAGTTCGTTATGTGCATGATCGTCGCGCATGGAAATGATGTTGTCCTTGGTCGGGTCGAGCCTGATAGCGTCGTAAAAGTCGCCCTTGCGGTATGGCGAGCGCACCGCCCACATGCGGCGCAAGATCTCCGAGTCATTGGTTACCAAGTCGTTGGGACCGATGCGGACGACCGGACCTACGGCCAGATGGCGCACCCCTTGTGGTCAGCCTGGCGAAAGCGATGAAGCAAAGCGAAACAAAGAGGAGCCTGTCATCCCCCCCCCCTTATACTGTAGATGTGTTGATATTGGGGGCGGCCTCCTTCCCCCTGCTGGACACCTCTGGGCCACACTGGGCAGCAACTACGACGTTCGTGTCCGTGGTCCTTTGCCCAATCTCCATCGTCCCAAGCGGGAATTTCCTCTTCCACTTGCCTCTTTCTTGATCTGGTTGACATACCGTATTCATCACAGGCTCGCTTCAGCGCAAGATGCATCTTCCCACTCAGTGTGTTACGTAGCATCCACCATTTGCTGAAGGCAGCCCATCGTGGCCCGGGAATGTGTCTGAGGCGGTACCAGGCCCAGTAAACATGTGCGAGGAGGGACAGTAGCATGCCTGCGCCGACGAGCAGCGACAAGGTCAACAAGTGCGGGCCTGGGACAGCCGTACCGGAGAACGCCATAGTGCTAGGAGTGTGTCTTTCCTGCCGGTAAATGCCGCCCTGTCTCGTCTAGTATCGTCTTGCTTGTCTCTTTCGCCTTATCTCTCCGGTAGCTGTAGACCGTTTATATGCCGTGAGCGCCAAGGTTGTTGGTGGTGGCGGCTTCGAGCTGTCGCTCGCAAATGTTTGCTGCCCCGTGGCGGGGGACAGAGATGTCTTGAGTAGGTGTTCGTAGGGAAAGATCAGGGTTGCATGAGGAGGTAGCATAGGTCAAGGTGTCATGAAGACCTGGATCACGAGTTGAAGCGTGTGGGCGGGGGAGGGAAAAGAGACGGTAAAAGTACGCAGCCTTCAGAGAATCGGGTAGGCTCTTTCTCTGCGCGTGCCCTACTCTTGTTGCCAACACAGGCAAGGCGAGGTGAATGTGAGGGAGACGCCTTATTGGCATTAAGGTATTCTCCTGAGCCGGGCAGGAGCGGAACCGTACGACCCGGCGATGCCTCGATTGACAGAGGCTGCCCTGGTGTCAAGGTACCTAGGTAGGTAGGGAAGGTAGACCAAGGTAGAAGAAAGAATGAATCCTGGTCAAACTTGATATTGAAGAGATCATTCAGGATGTGAAGAATGGCCGACTAGCAACAAAGTGCTCAGGAAGCCGCGTACGTGACTGGCCATCTTAACCCTCTTCTGCAGAAGGAGCAACATCATTTACAAACGCGCCTGCACCTGACAAGCTGGGCCAGAATCGACCAGCCGAGATAAGTGACCAAGCAGACGGGAACCGCAGAAGGAAGAGCCCCCAACCGAAGGTGTGCCTGAAGTTATCGATCCAAGGTCGCCATTTCCTTGGCTCAAACGACATGCCCAACTCGTCGAAAAGTCGACTCCAAGGGATGTCCAATCAGTCCGGCAGATGGAACACTCTCGACCCAACACGTCAAGCCCTTACTGACGGGCCTGGGATCGACCGGTAATAGGCTCAGGATTGCATCAGAGAAACACGATGCCGTTCCGAAGTTGACGCAACATCGACAGCCTGCCCATCCACACAGCCAACGGCCTGTCTCGTCTGCCACCATCACGGCACTTTGACTGCTTGGGAGACGAAGAAATACACCCGAGGACGGCCAGTTCTACGATGGATGATAGGCCTAGACTCCATGTGCTGTGACTCTTGACGTGAGAATCCGAGCTCCAGTGGGTGCGGTTGCTCTGCAGATAACTACACGAGCGTGCATCTTTCATACAAGTATCGGCAGTGGCTGCATAGTCCCATGTTTGCTAGCCAGCCCGCATCATTCGGCAAGCCGGCGAATGGTCCAACGGCAAGGGGCCACAGCGTCCATGCTGCAGCTGAGTGGGAGCTTTTCTCGTTACATCCACAGCAGGCATGTAAAGGCTCTCCGAACCAAATGCCGTGCTGCATAATCTCTGCCATGGTAGGCCAACGCAGCAAGCAGTAGCGTTGGTGACAATGACCACCAACAGCACCAGCTCGGCCCTCCTTTGCTGCCGTCAGATTTTATGATATGCAACAACCCGGACCTGATCCAATCGACGCGCAATCACGCTGCTGCACCGAGTTGGGCTCAAGTGCGAGTTGGAGGCCGTACTGGCCCCTTCATTGCTTCCGTTGGCAAATAAACCCCGCCGTTGGCGGTGGCGACGGCAGATCCCTGGACAGCCTGGTGCTGGCCACCTTGACCATTCGACTGCGGAATCATAGGAGAAGGCGAAACTCAAGTGGCTGTCGACGTGCTAGACACGGTCTAGGACAGCAAATTCAGACGACATCACGTTCCGAAAGGCGTTCTCATCCGCATGCTTGACAGGTGGCATGGCGCCCAACAGATATAAAGGCTGCCTGCATGCGACGCATTTTCCTGGTTCATCCCGAGCGACAGCAGAATGCTGCCACCTTGTGCGACCTCCAGCCGAACCAACTCACAGCTTCCCACCCAGCTATCCTTTCCCCACCTTCTTTTCCCTTCTCCAAGTTGCCAAAGTGACACAGCAACTTGCTCGTCAGTTTGTGCGGCCCATCCCCTTCCCTACCTGTCTTGCCTGTCTTGCCTAACCTTCACTCCAAATGGTTCAACATGGCAATGACTTGCCACAGACTGGCCACAGCAGCTGCTTCGTACCCTCGACGGCGCGAAGAGGTCGTCTTGAACATGGTATGATCGCACCGGATTGAGGTACGGTCGGAAGTACATTTGAAGACTCAAATATCGGCCTAGTTTTCCCTTTCCTGAATATTTCGTCCTGATTTGCTGGTGACTGCTCGACTGCATCCTGCCCCGCCCGCGATTCGACTATTCCATGGTCAAATGTACGCTGTTGCAACCGACAGGTACCGCTTATCTGGGAGTCCAGTAGTTGATTCGGCCCTAGCGAGACTGCGAACCAGCCAAACCAGCCATGGATCTGGATGAGTCTCTACCGGAGAACGAGGCCTCTATGGACACCGTCCGCCCGTCCAGGGCAGATGCTACCTATTTGAATTTGGAGCCAGATGAGGTGGGAGACGGCGCCACTGCTCTGCTGACCTTATGACTTTGGCCTGTCCACTGATGCCAGGACACAGAATATTGATGCGCAGGATGTGAACAGCATCCTCGACAATAGCGATGTCGATTCGGCCTTGGGCGATGTCAGTGTGATACTCTTGTACATTCGTATCTAGATCACCCTTGGTAAGCTAACAATCTAGTCGGAAACGTGGCCATCGTCGACAGCTTCCTTGAGGTCGAGCATCGTCCGCGCCAGAGAAGAGAATGGCCGCATATATCACGGCTACAAGGATGGCAAGTATGTATTGCCTACGGATCAGGTAAGGATTTGGCGATGCCAGCCATCATAGCAAACGACCTGTTGGCACACAAATCTATACTGTGGGTGTAGCTAACATGGCGGCCAGGAGGAGCTCGACCGGCAAAGTATGGAAAACTTTCTCAAGGTCATGGACCGTTGGCCAATTCTCTGACCAAAACTGAAGCATTCCAATACCAATTGTGCCAGCTCACATTCGACAATCGGCTGAGCTTTGCCCCAATATGTCGGCCGCACCGGGTCCTGGATGTGGGATGTGGAGTTGGTGGGTAGCCATGCTTTGCCAAGAATACGCTGCGTTGAGATTGACACCTGACCAGGGATATGGGCTTTGGACTTCGGTAAGTGTCTTCGAGGACGTTCGGAGACCTTCGCTCACAGAGGAACAGGCGAAGAACACCCAGAGTCGGAAGTAATAGGCGTGGATTTGTCTCCCGTGCAGCCCGGTTTGTGCGTGCACCAGCGCGCCCTCGGCGGCTATGATACTGACTACATCAGTACACCCCCCAATGTCCATTACGAAATCGACGACCTGGAAGAGGAGTGGAGCTTCTCCAGAAATTTCGATTACATTCATTCCATGATGATGACGGGTGCCTTTCGGGACTGGCCCAACTTTTATCGGCAAGCCTTTGAGTGAGTTGTGCAATCAACGGTTAGACGAGGAAATTGACATCATCCCAGGAACCTCAATCCTGGCGGCTGGGTTGAATGTCAGGACATCAATTTTCCGATGAAATGTGACGACGACACTATTGCTCCGCAGTCAGATCTTGGTCGGTGGAACGAGCTGATGATGGAGGCTGGCACTCTCTCGGGCTTCCGACTCGATCTATGCGACAGGGCGGCGGAAATGATGTCGGCAGCGGGGTTCGTCGACATTGTTCGAATACCGTACAAGTGGCCGATTAATCAATGGCCAAAGGATGTCAGATATAAGACATTGGGCGAGTGGACTGAAGCCAATTTTGTCTTTGGTCTCGAGTCGATCATGCTCGCGCTGTTCACGCGTTTCCTGGGCTGGAAAAAGGAAGAAGTCTGGGAGTTCATCGCAAGGGTGATTGCCGAGTGGAGGGACCTTAGGAATCATGGCTACTTCGAGATTTATGTGACGTATGGCAGGAAACCATAGGACAAGAAGAGAGCTTCCAGACGCTGGCTGGGATGGCGTGATTTGTGGATGGCGCAAGTAGTTCGTGTTGTCCAAGGTTCTCTCAGAAGCATTGCCCATGGATACCCCAAAAGTCGGCAAGCGGCATCCAAATATGCTGACGGTTCGGCAGCGCTCGGCCAGATGACAGACAGTGTGTTCATGTCCACCCAGACGCGAATGCGTTCGCTGTGCGACCCCAGCATGTAATTTGCGGCCGAGCGGGTTCTCTTCAGACGGTGAGGCGTTGGAGTTCTGCCTACATCTAGCCCGCAGCCGTTCAGACCACGGCAGATGTAGGCTGTCGCCGCCCACCGTGCCACTACCAACTGCCGCTCTTCGTCCGTTCAGTGCGTCCTCGCATGTGTCTGTCGGAAGGCGTCGGTACACAATCGCCGGTGAGGGTGGCGTCAGAAAGACACCCGACTGGTGGCTGTGAAGGGAATCAGCAGCGCCGTTCTGGGCAGTTGGCACTTTTGGAGCAGGGCGGCGGGAGGGGTCCGTTTCGTCCGTCATGTGTACGGCTTTTGTGCCCACACTGAGTACCACGGCAGGTAGGCGTGGATTCCAGGGTCTTCGAAGGCTTTTCTGATCTCGTGCTCCAAGACCTCAGCCTCCTGTTTCGACTGGAGGCCCATCTCCGGCCACTTGACGAGCACGGCACGCACCAGTTGCCAGAGAACGTGCTTGCTCATGAAGAGACCAATCTCGCGGCGCTTTCTATCCTTGGCCCACGCTCCGATGGGCATCTTGTGCCGGCGTACGTGGATATGCGTGAAGCCGATGCGCTCGAGATCTTCATGAATGGTGGACATGATGCCAAGACTGCATCGGTGAGCGGGACCGAACATGTTGACGAAGCGATCCATGAAATGGAGCATTGGGTGGTTTGACGGCATGGTGTCATCGTCACAAAAGATGTTGGATCCGACATCCTGAAGCTCAACCCAACCCCCCGGGTTGAGGTGTCTAATTTTCCTGGTTAGCCGGACGCTCATGATTTACGTGGTTCGTTGAGGGCAGTGGCTGGAGGGGTTTTCGTGCATACTTGAACGTCGATTCCAGTACGCCCACTGGATCAGACAAGATGACTGTGACGGATCGAAGGTGAACAAAGTCAAGGTTGGCATATGGAGGGTCCCACGTGGTGTTCTGAATGTCGTCTATCCTCCATATGACATTGTGCGGTATGCAGCTCGTCTGGATCGGCGTGATGTCGACGCCGATGACCTGGGCACTGGGAAACTTATCGGCCACTGTCATTGTCATGTCAGCACGTACCCATGCCTCCGAGGGGGCTCACCAGGCAGCTGTACCGTCAATGGCCCATAAGCCGACGCCTGTCCCGATGTCGAGGATCCTCTGCGGGTGATCGCCGATGGGGGCGAGGTAGTCATTGCCGTCAAAGAGTCTCTTGATCATCTGGTGCTTCATCTCCTCTCGCTCTTGCTCGATGTCGTCGTTGGGGATGGGGTACTCGCCCGGCCGGAAGGACTGGTAGCGCCTGAGCAGAGTGCTCGTCAGTAAACCCTACCTGCGACGGGGAGCACAGCGTACCGATGAGGCGCGCGTCACGGGGTGGGATGAAGGAGGGCAGACGCACCGGCCATCTTGATGGGAGTGACGCAGGACGTAGGAGGCCAGCGAGGTGAAACCGGAGGTCCCGAGTGAAGTCCCATAGTCGGAAAAGCCGGCGAAGTCGTGGTCCTCGAGCATGTCGAGGGGCGCAGGCTCAATGGGCTCGCTGTCATTGTCATACCCACTGGAACCCGACTCCATGGCTACAGGACGGGGGCTCACAGGCCGGTTGCAGCAATGAGGCCTCTTGTCACCTTTTGGAGGGCGTTGGACTCGCGCGAGGCTCGCCCCCTTTCTCCTACCTAGGTACGCAGCCGTGGACTTGATACAGCGGCAGACCGCGCTTGAAGGCTCACTCAACTCACTAGATGAAAACGGCAGGGATCAGTCAGGCGGATGGCAAGTCTGTCAAGGTTCTCGGGGGTGGTGGAGAAGCTGTCAAATGCTAGCGTAGCGTTCGTTTGAGCTCCATCATTCGCGTGGCCAGAAAAAAAAAACCACACTCCCGGCGCACGACGACTGTCGCGCGGGCAGTGTGTCGTGCCGAAAGGCAACAAGACGGCGCCAAGGGGAGATGGTCCAGGAGCCCGGATTTCGGGCTTTCGGCGTTGACAAATCATGGAGAAAAAGCAATAAGGTAAAAAGATACTTACAGTAGGTATATGACAGCGCCCGGGGGACTGGTTCCGTCCAAGGCTCACGCTCAGGGCGTTCATGCAGGGAGAAATGCCAACATCAGTTGTCAGTTGTCACTGGCGAGTGGTGGGCTGCTGCGGGACCAAGGTAGTATTGCTACTACTGCTGCTGGCAAGCATGTCAAGGATGGCGATCGTCGGTAGCAAGGGCCTTGCTTGGCCTTCGGATGGATCACGTCGTCTCCCCGCCACCTGCCGCCAGCCTGCGAAGCTTTTCTTCACGGTTAGAAAAGGCGAATCGCAGGAGTGCAGCATGCGATGCCGGGTGACGTGGACGAACCGGGATCGGAGAAGGCGTCAATGGTCCCTAGGTTTCTCCTGTTTCTCCTTGTGAGGCTAGGAGGTAAAAGCGGGAGCAGGAGAAGAGGGATTGGCACAAATTTGATGGATGGTTCTGGACGTCTTACCGTGAGCCAAGCACTCGAAAAGGAAGGAAAGATTCGCGCATGCCTAGGGGCGTGGCAGATCCCCTCAGCTCGCTGAGCCGGTACTGGGCCGGTGCTGGGCCGGTATCGTAGTGCGTGCAGTGTGCTGTCAGGAGCTGCCCCTGTGGAGTTACCAACCGTGTACCTACCTAGGTACCTCAGAAGCAGCCGTGGGCTGTGCCTGCCGCCACGCTCCCAGAGGCCTGATGCCGGCCAGCGCGCCTTGTTGGCAGGGTGTCTCAGTGGCCAGTCGTGCTGTAGTCAGCATCGACGTCTTGCATGGCGACTACCTACCGTAGGTACCTTACCTACCTTAGGCACCTACCTACCTACCTACCTAGGTAGGTAGGTAAGATACCTAAGCATCCCGAACCTCGTATTGCTTTCATAGCCTGTCTTTGTGCCTTGCTCACTCACCTGAAGCCGCGCCTGAAAGCCGGTGGAATCTCCCTGCGCGTACTCTGAACATGCTTCAGTATGGCACTAGGAGGTTCAAATGAGACTCTTTGCTAGAGTGAACCGTGCTCTGACACTAGCAACCCCAGTTGAGAGCCGGCCATGCCTGGCACCAAGGAACTACGAGAGCGTTGGCGGGACATGGCCTTGTGCCCATGTCCCATAGATAGCTTGCTCATAAGCTCAAGGTATGGCCAGGCTGTAAGTGAATACGTCAGGACAGACATGTACGGCTCTGTCTTTGATTTCCTTTGACCTGCCTAACAGATGCCATGGCATCGACAGTTTATGTCCTTCAGAGTGGCTTTGGCGTCGAATGCATCGCCCGCAAGAGGGCTGCCCTATGGGGTTCCGAGGCAACGGCTCATGCGCGAGGTCATCTCGACGTTTCCCCCCCCCCTAGGAAGATCTCGGGTAGGATTCATCACGATCGCAGACGCAATGGCTACCATGGCATCTTAAAGATATGGGGGGCATCGAGAGACAGTGCCATGTTGTGGAATGCACCGCCAAATACACGGTGCGGCTCCAGTCCCCAGCCAACGGTACGTACCTTGCTCGTCGTGATGGTCCTGGCGCATCACCAGCACTTGTCGCGTCAAAACCAATGAAGCAAACCGCGTCGAGCGCGACTGTGGGTCTCTCACAACACCACTTTCGAGTTCCCGGTCCTGTAGTGACTTTCACACCCTAACTTACTATACCTTACTCTGCCTATCCTCTCCACCAACATCCCACTACACACGTCCGCAAACCACTGCCGTAGAACTTTATTTCTCTTGATCACTACCACCGTTGGTCTGTCGAGGCGAACTCTTACCTCGGGTCTTGACCCCTACCAGCGTTGTGTGTTCCTTGAGTATCCGCTCGGACCGGCCACCGGCACAGCACGACTCGGTTCCGCTGAAGCCACACGCCATTGACAGCGCAACCCGATCTCTGCTCCTTCGAAACCAGTTCAGAAACGAGATCGCTCAACTACTTCGATCCATGAGTCCGCGAACGTGACGGCCGAGGCAACGCGTCTAGATCTTCCTAGCCATGTATCTACCGCGCTCCCTCATATCGAAACTCTACCTCCACCTCCAGAATACCCGACACCCTCTCTCGCCTCCTGTCCTCATTCTTGTCGCCCTCGAGCCCGACGCACTCTGTGCCTGCCGTATTCTTACTCGATTGCTGAAGCACGACTATATTCCCCACAAGATCCAGCCCATCTCCGGCTATGCTGACCTTGAACGGGCCGGCAGGGACCTGGTCCTGCCCATGATGGAGTCCAACGGCGGCAGCGGCGGTGTCGTTGTCAGTCTCGGCGTGGGCGGCATGGTTGATCTGGGTTCTCTGCTCGGCCTGGAACCCGAGGGCGACGAGGCGACATTCTCCGGCGTCGAGGTCTGGGTCATCGACTCGCACCGGCCGTGGAACCTGGGCAACGTCTTCGGCGGCTTTCCCTTGGAAGCGACTGACGACGACACGGTCCCGCTGTCAACGAGGTGTCCCAATGGTGTCAAGGCAGGCCGCATCGACCGGACATATACCCCTGGCAAGGGCGGTATCGTGGTCCTCGACGATGGAGATATCGAAGACAGCCTGGCAACGGAGCGAGATGCTTACATCGCCCTCCTTGACATGCCAGACGTGGAAGATGACGGGGAGGAATTGGGCGAGAGTGATGATGGAGAAGACGAAGACCTATTTTCTGAAGAGTCTGCTCGCACAGGGCAAAAGAGAAAAAGCTGGTCAGATCGAGAGGAGGAAATGTCGAGTGACGAGGACGACCGTCCAGCTCAACGGAGGCGAAGTAATTCTGTAAGTGGGACAAGAACTTGGCGAACTGGCACACGGAACTGACACCACCCCACAGTCTACATCCATACCATCGCCCTCAAGACCACCCCAAAGAGGACTCCTGTCCATCAGAGACCAGGATAGCGTCATGCCGAGCGACCCCCCTTCAGCGGCACAGGCCCCCTCTGCGAGGGCACTCCGTCGAAGGCTCCTCAGACTGCGGAGGGAGAACGAGCGCGTCCTGCGGAAATACTACAAAATCGGTGCCTCATTCTCTGAGCCAATATCTTCCATGATGTACTCGCTCGCCTCGGAGCTGGGCCGCGAAGATAACGACCTTCTTTGGCTCAGTATTGTTGGCGTCACATCAATGGAGCTATACGGCCGTTCATCGGCAGGCATCGCCGTGCCCGTTCGCAGCTCGGACCGCGGCCAGGGTACCGGCTGGATGGGTGTTCGCGGCGCCCGCATCCGCCAGCTACTGCGTGACGAAGTGCGTCGACTCAACCCACCAGAAGTGGGCAGTCGCAATGCCGTGGAAAATACGGGGGTCATTCCGACCACGGCGCGAAGCCCAGAGGACATGTCCATCAGGTTATCACCGGAGCCCAAGTTCCTCCTCATTCGGCACTGGAGCCTCTACGACAGCATGCTGCACTCTCCCTATCTGTTCTCTCGTCTCAAGACATGGAGCGATACGGGCATGAAGAGGCTGCACAAGCTACTTGCCAAAATGGGCGTCAGCTTGGTCCAGTGTAAGCAGAGCTATGCGCACATGGACATGATGCTCAAGCGGGAACTTCGCACCAAGCTGCTCAAATACGCCTCATTATACAATCTGGACGACATGGTCCCGTCGGTGGATACGGATGGTAAAGATCGCGCAGGAGCCAAGGACGGCTGGGGTTTCGTCAGGAGTTGGGGCTGGCGAGCCACGCTGAGTGCGCAGGATGTCGGTGTCGTCATTGGTGCCATTCTCGAAGTTGGGAAGCAGGGAGAGGAAGCGGCCAAGCCTGCCATTGAGCCGATGCAAGACGCCGATGTGGACGACACCGAGGCACAAGGCGATGAGTGGATCGCGCGGTTCTGGTCCGCCTACGATGCCCTCGAAAAGTAAGTCTGACCATGGCGAACAAAATCAGTCTGATCCTCTGACTTACGCAACCCGCAGCATCGACGCACTCAAGGCCGGCCTCCCTACAGCTCAGCTGCTTCACCGCGCCATCTACCGCACCGGCACCTCCATAATCAACAAGAAGCAGATCAAGCACCTGCGCGCCTTCCGCATGTGCGTCGTCAAAGATGGCCCCGACGTGCCCCTATTCACCCACCCCGCTGCCCTCACCAAGCTCGCCCTCTGGGTTGGCGAGGCGCTCGTCGAGCAGGAAAAGGACACGACAGGCCGCCTCTCGCACGGCGGCCGAGGCACACCCCTTGTCGTGGCGTCCCTCAACGAGAAGCGCGGTGTCTACGTCGTCGTCGGCACCGGTGGTGGCGGCGGGCCAGACACGACCTTCCTTGATCGCGAGGCCGCGAAGAAACGCCAGGCGGCGAAAGACGAGAAGGCGAAAAAGAGGGAAGAGTCGCGGGCGGCCAAGGCCAAGATCAAGGAGGAGAAGCGTGCGGCACGGCAGGCAGAAGGAGACGAGGATGAGCTGGACGACGAGCTCGACACGGAGTCTGAGGCGTCCGACTCTGAGTCGGACGAAGAGGACATTGACGAGGACAAGGTCCAGGAACGGGGCTACGGTCTGAACAAGTTCGGGTCGGCGTTTCAGGAAGTCGTGGCGGAGACGAGCGCCCGGGTGCGCATTGACAGCTTCGAGCACTGCGTTGTCGAGGTGCGCAAGGAGGATCTCGGTGGATTTTTGGAGAGCCTCAGTATGAAGGCCGTTGTTGGTTGAACATGGGGAGGAAGGGGGTCGCGGTTATGAATGAAGGCGTTTTGTTGTTTCACAATGAGTGCTAGGGAGGGAATCAGGACAGGTGGAGGCACTCGTTTTACGGACTGCTGCACTTTCTGGATGGTCATGAGGCATATGGCGTGCGAATAGCTAGTCTAACAATGATATACTGTTTCCTGTGCGTGCTGAGGTCAACGCCAGTGATGTCGAATGCAGGTCGGTGGCGTAGCTTCGAAGGATGGTGGTTTGAGAACACCTCGTAGACACGGGCTTGCACGATCAGAAGGCCGGCCTGCACCGTTCATGATGGAGGAGACGCCAAAGAAGAGACATTCTTGGTTCGGTGATCTTAGGTGGTTGAGACATACATATCCAGTCTCGTGGCGGCGGAACTGCAGTGGATGCCTAGACCCAAGCGCCTCACCACAGAGCACCGCATCGCGACAGCGTTTTCCACGTTGCCCGCCAAGCAGATACGCGTATGTTTAATGTATTGTATGCACCCTACGCATCCTATGCACGTCCATGCTCCAATCACGCCCTAAAACGGAGAGGTCTCGACATTGAGGCTGCCACAACTCAGCGTCCGACGTGGCGCGCCAGCAACTGTTCTCTGCGAATCAGGTGCATAGAAATGTCAGCAAGGCGAGGCTCCTACTCCCAGTATCGGCCCGGTGGGGGGTTTGACCATGGATGTAGGTAATATTGAGACGCTGTCGCGCCTCTGTTGGTAATAAGCTGTCAATTTCGCCCACCCTGAATGGCTAGCCCTGTCTACTGCCTCTGTAAGGATTCGTGACCCAAAAACTCTCTTTGAAAGGCCACAGCAGGTTCAGCATGGAGCCTGTATCGTCAGAAGTCTCGAGAATGGAGATTATGGACGATTGGCGGTATTTGAGCCGCCAGGCTTGCAGCCGTTGCTACTGCCTACATCATGTGGTCGATATGGCGCCAGGCCGGTATTCTCATGGCTGCTGGACAGGTTCTCCCTCAGTCCCTCGATCCCGATGATTGAATCCCAGGCCAGGGTAGAGAACAGGGGTTTCGGCCCAAGCATAGCCCTACAGCCCGCAGGTAAGCACAGCAGCTGTCAGCACTAAGCCATCGTCAGGGGTCAGCGGCTCGAAGCCGACCAACGGCCGCGCAGATGTCGTAGAGATGCTTGTACGAATTCCCATGTAGGGTCATGCCAACGACGAGAGGGGCGGTCGACGCGCCGCGAGATGATAAAGAGAAGAGTGCTGCGCTTTTGTAGGTCGTTTCGGTCACTTCCATTTCTGTACCTTGGCACTCTCCTTTCCCTTGCCGTACGCAAAAACAGGTCTCGAGCATTAAGACCTTCTGCTTCATCGCTGCCGCTGTTGCTCGCATAGCAATCGAGTTTTCGACCACATAGCCGAAGAATATGGCGACGAGCCAGAAACCATGGGCAGATGGCCCTTTCCCGCTCGTCAGCAATTCAAAGCTCAAGCTCAAGGTGTGCCTGTGACGGTCGCCGACAGAGAATGGCAGAATACTTACAGGCCCAACCCCGTGAACAGGATGGAGAGAAAGCCCAAGGCGCCAAGGAGATGGCTATGGAGATGATCATCGTTCACAATATCCTGCTGCGCATCATCAACTCGATCTACCTCCAGTGCATCAACGTGGGCGTCAGAGGCACCCAGCAGGACATCGACGACTTTGTCCAGTATGCCAGGCTCTGGCACAAGGGCGTGACGCATCACCACCATACCGAGGAGACGATGATTTTCCCTGACATCGAGAGGATGGCGGGCGTGCCCGGGTTGATGGAGGCCAACGTCGCACAGCACGAGGCATTCCACGACGGCATGGAATCATACGAGTCGTATCTCGAAAGAGTCAGCGCTGGGGAGGAAAAGTATGACGGCCTCAAGTTCAAGCAGATCATCGACTCTTTCGCAGACGTGCTGCACCAACATCTCACAGATGAGATCGATACGCTGGTGAAGTTGCATGAGGAACACGCGGACAAGGCCGAGTGGGGTGTGTGGTACAAGAAGACAATGGATGAGATCTTGAAGGCGACCAAGGACCCAGAGCACGCGGTAAGCCGTCGTCTTGGACTCGCGTCTGCTTCCTCGTGCCGGCGCTAATGTCATGAACAGACAACCGTTGTCCCCCTCATCTTCACGAATCACGAGAAGGGATTTGAGAATGGGTTTTCCGCAAGCTGGCCTCCGCTGCCTTGGTTCTTCATGTTGATCGTCAAGTGGTGGTTCATACCGACGAACAAGCAATGGTGGCGATTCTCGGCGTGCGACGCGAATATGAAGCGACGGGAGTTGCCCTTCGTTTGAGCGATGGACGGCTGGTGATGCAACACTGGTAAAGCAAGGAACAGGTCGGGTGGAGTTCTGGCGCCAAGCTGGCATGCAACTAAGCGGGCGTTCATAGATCGGGGCATTCCAGTTTCGATTGCGAAGGTGCCAGACGAGCCCCCCCGAGTCGAGAAGAGTCCAGGCCTGGCCTATGTATGTCATCAAGCATGGAAGGCCGGCGAGGCATCCAATAGTGACGAGTCGCTCGACAGACGGATCGGACGAATGATATGAGTCCCCGGCACGACCTTGTCGAAGAGCTGAGATAGTCGGGGATGTGTGATGTGTTGGCGTGGGACACGGTGATTGGCGAGATGGGAGTGATCAGGGTGATGAGGATGTGAGCGTTTCACGCAGGCAGCCTGGTCCAGACAGGTGCATGCGCACCACACAAGATTGGCTCTCTCTGAACATGGGAGTGCAGCTTGGGTGCCTGTTCGAGCAACTTCCTCCTTGCTGTGCTTCCACGAGCACCGAGTGGTTGTCAGCGAGGCTTTCGCTTGGTTCTCTCGGGTTCCATGGTACTTCGTATCCGCATTACTCGTCTCGTACGTCGCAAGAACCGTTGCTCTCAAATCAAAGGATACGTACCTTGTTGGGTCATCATTGGGCACGCACTTGCTCGAGGTGCCGTTCGAGTGCATCAGGTCCCGAGCCTTGGTTCTAGTCGAAACCCGTTAGCGCCCCCTTTGTCCACAGGGAACCCAGGGGACAGGGACGCTGTAATTCTAGTGGGCTGGCTGCAGTTGCAGTGTGCAGTCAGGGAGTGCCATCGGGTGCTTCCATTGCCCTCCAAGCAGCCGGCGTGGGCGGGGATCTGGGCCCCCCTGCAATACCACCCAAGGTAACCCCCCCCCCCCCCCCCCCTTCCCTCGCCCCTCCTCCTCCCCTTCCTCTTCAGTACGACCAGCTCCAGCTCCAGCACCAGCACCAGCACCAGTCCCGCCTTGTCTCGTCACGCGCACCTTCCGGCCTTCCCTTCCCTTGCCTCAACTTTTTGACGGGACCGCCGTTACCAACCAAACCCGAGAGGGACCCAGGCTGGAACCTGCATTGGCTTGCCTGCTGTCATTTTCCATCACCTTGCACACCTGATTCCACCTTCACCTCAATCGACGCTGTTCCCCCCAAAGGCTCTGTTTCTCCCAAGCACGACAACCCTCCGAGAGGATACCCACGACTTGACCCCTCCGCCACCTTATTTGACGAACCTGACCTCCGTACCTTGTTTCCTTGGTACCAGTGCTGCTGCCGCCAAGTCACCCCGACTCCCATCCGCCGACGCCGTCGTCTCGACCGTCCGAGGGCAGCCATCCCGCGATCCTTCTTGCTCCGGCCTCTCCAATCCGTTCGCCCAACCTACAACCACCACGCCTAGACGACCGTCGCGACGACATACAACGCCCCAAAACCTCCACCCAGCGGATCCCTCATCTCCCCAGTACCGCACGCACATCCTCCCCCACCCTCTCGAGAGACTTGATTTCTACTACCCCGCCATCGTAAACCATGGGCAAATCGTAAGGAATCCTCGCGCTGTCTCACGCCCTCCCCCCCCCCCCCCCCTTTCCTCGCCTATGCCCGTCGGCTTCAGAACGTTGTGCGCAACACCGCCAAACAGTCGCTCATGTACCTATGTGTTCTTCTGCTTGTTCATTTCTCCATATGGGTCGCCTCGGCATTGAATCCCTACCTTAGCTCCCCTGCGCCTCCGTCTATCCGCTACCTGCCTACGTCATGAGTCTGGTGAAGGGGGTTCAGACGCCCCATTTGAACCATGCGCATCTGCTAACCGCGACGCTCTGTCGATCATTAGACAGTCAAAGCTCTCGCAAGAGCAGCTCTCTGAGTTGCAAAAGTCGACCCATTTCGATAAGAAGGAGTTGCAACAGTGGTACAAGGGTATGCCAATCCAGGATAACTCCCCCTCCTACACCCGTCACGTATCAACGGCTTCGAAACTTCGAGCCTCCCCTGCACGCCAAGCGATCGCCTAACAGCCTTCCTCCTCCGCTCATGGCGTACAGCAGTCGGCTAATGTTCAACTGCTCGCAGGATTTCTCAAGGACTGCCCCTCAGGAACGCTCACCAAGGAGGAGTTTCAAAAGATCTACCGCCAGTTCTTCCCGTTTGGCGATCCGAGCTCGTTTGCCGACTACGTATTCAATGTCTTTGACAGCGACAAATCCGGTACTATCGACTTCAAAGAGTTCATCTGCGCTCTGAGCGTTACGAGCCGTGGCAAGATGGAGGACAAGCTGGACTGGGCCTTCCAGCTCTACGACATAGACGGCGACGGCAAGATCAGCTACGACGAGATGCTGCAAATTGTCGAAGCCATCTACAAGATGGTGCGTAACTTTGCCATATCCCCCGCTTTGCCAGACCCTACTCCTCCATGTAGAACATGATGTGCTGACAGCGGAATTCAAAGGTCGGCTCCATGGTGAAGCTCCCCGAAGACGAAGATACCCCCGAAAAGCGCGTGCGCAAGATTTTCCGCATGATGGACAAGGACGAGAACGGTAGCCTTGACATGGAGGAATTCAAGGAGGGCAGCAAACGTGATGAGACGATCGTGTCCGCCCTTTCCCTTTACGATGGCCTTGTCTAAGAGGGAGAACAACGACAACTCGGCTGTCCCTTCTACAACGACGCCTTTCGTCGCTCCAGAAATTTGAAGCAAACGGCGAGGAACAAGTTGAGACACAATGACGTCGGGAGCGAGAGAGCATAATGACAAAGAAACTGTAAACCAGAACCTTGCCACAGGAAGGGGGGGGGGGGGGCTTTATTTCGCATGCAGCGGGCAGCTACGTAGCACGGCACGACGGGCGGTTTCAGGCCAGGACAGGACTGCAGTGTTCATGACTGGGTCAATGGAGCGAATGATCGAGGAGAGCATAGGGTGAACGAAGATGAAGTCGGCGGGCGCGAGCTGACCGACAGCACCTATGATTAGGCCAGGGCAGGGAAGACGAACGACTTTAAGAGCTTTTACTGCGTTATGAGAGAACATACATTTCCAATCCATGAACCGTGTGCCGCCCGTTGTCATCGGCATCTTTAGCACCTTTTTGGTCCGCAGTCGATCGGAAGCATCAAAATCTTGGTGATAGGGAAAGCAGGACCAGCGGCTTGTTGGTGTATCAGGGCGCGGAGGGCTCAGCTCCCTACGCCCGGCACATCCGGGTGGTGCCGATCGCGCCGTAGCTCTGAATGTAACATTGCCAACAGGAAGGGAAACAAAAAGAAAAAGAACAACGGCGCAGACAAGAATATGGTTGCAAAAACTGGGATACGACTTCATACACTACTGCAGACAAAGGGCGAACATATCGTGCACACATACAAAACTCGACGAATCAAGCCCCAAGATCGCGTACAATAAAAGCCAGACAGACCATACTCCTGGGATATCAAAACTGAAGAACAAGTCGCTCTCCCTCATTCAGCCCTCCCTCTCTCCAAAGCATGTTTCTCTCTCTCTCACACACACATCCGCTCTCCTCTTGTTTCGTCTCCAGACTCAGCTGTCTCTCTTTTGCTTCCGAGCATCCAGGGATTGGAACACGTTCGCAGAGTTCGTCTAGCTCGTCGAGCCGTAGGCCTGGGCGACCTGGGACTTGAACTTGTCGAGGATCTTCTTGCGCTGGAGCTTCTGGGCGGCCGTGGTGTAACCCTGAATCATAGTGTTAGCATTTTGCCAATTCATATCATGGAAAATGAACGTGCTCGGGGGGAGATTGAGGAGGCGGAGGGTTGTAGACTTACGTTCTGGGGTGTCCACTCCTCGTCGGACAGGACGACACCCTCGACAATCTCGATACCGGACAGACCGCCTGTGCGGCCGGCGTTCTGCAGCTCGCGCAGGACGGCCGCGTTGAGCTTCTTGTCGCCGACGAGCTCCTCGAGCGAGTCGCCCTGGACACCAATGGACTGGGCCAGCTGGATCAGGGCGGGCTCGGCGGGCACGATGATGGCAATGGGCTTGGCCTTGGTGGGCTCGGCATAGACGCAAATGTTCTGGACGACCGAGGAGGCGCGGTAGATGGACTCCAGCTTCTCGAGAGCAATATACTCGCCGTTGAGCGTCTTGACCAGGTTCTTCTTGCGGTCGATGAGCTTCAGGTGGCCCTGGCTGTCAAACTCGCCGATGTCGCCCGTCTTGAACCAGCCGTCCGGAGTGATGGCCTCAGCCGTCTCCTTGGGGTTGTCATAGTACTCCTTGAGCACCGAGGGGCCGCGGATCCAGACCTCGCCCTGGGGGTTGGGCTTGTTGGTGGCGAAGTAACCCGCATCGGCAAAGTCGACGAGCTTGATCTCAATGCTCGCAGGCATGGCACCCATGTTGTTGGTGTTCCATTCGAGAGGGTTCATCAGGCAGCCCATGGCCGTGGTCTCGGTGAGACCATATCCGATAATCATGGGCGCAATGGCCATGGAGATGAAGTGCTGGGTCTCCTTGGCGATCGGGCCACCACCAGACATGCAAAGCTTCAGGCGTCCGCCGGTGGCCTCCTTGAGCTTCTTGAAGACCACCGAATCGAGAACACCGGTGCCGGGAAGACCGGATGCAAGGAGGCTCGCCTTCAGGGACAGAGAGTTCCAGAAGAGAGACTTGACGACCGGGCTTCCAGCGTTGACCTTGTTGATGATGCCCTTCTTGACCGTCTCCCAGACAGCGGGAACGCCGACCATGACAGAGGGCTTGAACTCGCGGATGTCACCAGAGCAGTTGCGAACAGAATTGTCGGACAGGGTCTTGGGGTTGCCGTAACCCAGAACAGCACCCCAGAAGAGGGCACCGTTCTCGAACACATACTCCAGAATATGCGCCAGAGGGAGGTAGGTCAGGAGACCATCACCAGGCCCAATGTGAGGGCCTACGACAACAGAAACGCCAGCAACTAGAAACCATCGTGTTAGCCAGCATGTCGACTTGAGAGCACGGAGGCGTACTTACTAGCAGCGCAGACCTGGCGGTGGAGCAGGGGAACACCCTTGGGGGTGCCGGTGGAGCCGGAGGTGTACATGATGCAGCAGAGGTCCTCGGTGGTGGGAGGGACAGGCTCAGCCACGTTGTCCTCGCCGAGCTGGCGAAGCTCCTCGAAGCTCACAATGTTGACGTGAGGGTGCGCGGCCTTGAGCTGGCTCACGTGGCCCTCGTTCAACGTGTTCTGGCTGTTCCAGATAATGTGCTGAACATCCTTGGCCTCGTGCAGGACATTGTTCAGGGTCGGCAGCAGGTGAGGGTCGAGGAAGATGGCTTTCGCGTGGGTGGCCATCATGGAGTACCTCAGACCCTCCTCGCCGAGCGTGTCGTACGCAGTGACGATGGGCAGGGACTGGGAAGCGGCGCCATGGGACATGGCGAGCCAGTGTGCGCTCGTCGCAGCGAAGAGGTGGACGCGGTCGCCCTTGACGAGACCGAGCTTGCGCAGACCAGAGCCGACCTGGAGGGTGAGGGCCTCGTACTCGGTGTACGATATGTAGGTGTAAGGGCTGAGCTCGAAGTAGGTCCACTTCTTCTCAACCTCGCGCTCCTCGCCGTCGACAATCTTCTTGACCATCTTGGTATCGATGTGCGTGTCGACGAGCTTGCGAGACCCGATACACCGGGCATTGCCGAACTTGGCGGCGCTCTGCTTGACAAGCTCGTAGATGGTGTCGACGGTGCCGCCGGGCTTGGTGAGAAGCTCAGGCACGGCCTTGGGGTGTCGGCGGGGGATCGTCTCGCCGTCCACCTTCTCAGCGCCAGGGCTCGGCACTGAGAAGGGGCCCTTGGCCTGCATCCTCGCAACGATGTGCGACTTGGACTTGGAGCTGGAGCCAGTCATGATGGCGGATGTAGCTGGAGGTGTCTGGAACACTTGCGCGTCGCAGGGGTATCAAAAAAAGAAAGAGAAGAGAATGAGAGAGCCAGCAGGGCCAGAGTGGAGGTCAAAAGGTCCTGAGATAGTCGACAGGAGGGCGTGTGCAAAACGCGTGAACAGGAGTTTGCGCCGGTTGAGGGCGAAGGTGGTGGGGAGCAAGAGGGAAGGAGGAGGGACAATGGGTTCAAGACGGCGGGATAGGGCAAAGAGGTTTATTTGAGGAGAGCAAGGGACTGTGATCTTGGGCGTCCTCTTGGCTTTCCGGTGGAGCTGGGGTTGGGGCGCACGGAAGAGGGCGGCAGAAGAAGCTGGAGGCGGGAGGCAGAGACAATGCCAGGCCAGACCTCAAGTGACGCTGACCAGGAGAGCTCGAGCAGGCGCGTGGTCTGAGCTTGCAGGTTGTAGGTTAGCTCGCGCTTTTTTTGGGGGGGCTTGGAGGGGGCCTGGGGGGGGGCTTGGTTTGGGGGGGCTGCACCAGGGCTCTAGACAGTGGACAGGGGGGGTAAGAAGTAGGAGGGGGGTAGCCGTGCCCCACCTGAGGTGAGCCAACGGCTTATGGTCGCCTAGGTTTCAGTGGATGCACTGCTGGGCTTCGGCGTACGTGTTGCCTCTTGACGGGGTGCTTACTTGCTGAATGGCTTTCCAGCACATCCGACGAAAGCCATTAGCTTCGTCATCGGCAGCTCTCACACGTGATACTAAGTTCTGATATCTGCCTGGTGCCGATGCCGAAGGCAAAGCATCCTCGAAATCCGTCTTTTTGCCCACGAGGTCGATCATCTTGCCATCACGGAGGCAATTCATCGTTTACCCCCCCCCCCCCCCCTTCCCACGACCCCACGGCATCTGATGCTGCTGTACAGCCCGCCTGGTCTCGCCTCCCCCCCTCCTCCTGTTACCACTGCTGCGACTGCTCCCTCACCGTTGGATGGCTTGGCTGGTCGCATTTCATCCAGTCTCTTGGCACTGTAACTCTATTGGTTTTGGCGTCCTGGGCATGAAGGCGCCAATCCGGGGGGGCGCGCTACATGTAAGTATCGGTGTCATTGTTTGATGTGAGCGCCATACCCATCGTTCCCAACAGCGCCTGGCCAGCGCATCCCCTCCTTGAGGCATGGCGCAGTTGAGTTGAGTTGAGCTGGCGCTCCATGTCTGTTGGGACGACTAACCCAAACAACGTGTGTAACCGTCGAGGCTATCTCGGCCGCTCGATGAGGGTCTGCGTCTCAAAACAACACTTCACATGGGAAAAGTGCTCATCGAGAACATGAATCCTGGAATGTAATTACATGCATCCTTAGTCCTTCTTAGAACGACATGGCCTAGGCTCATCTCGGATGCGTCCTGTCGGCCAACTCCCCCTTCCATCCCTGTACGTTCCCATATTCCATGCCCATGTGAAGATTGGGGGAGCGGGTCAACAAGGGGTCAAGGGGCTGCCCGTCACTGCACATCGCCAAAAAGTCGTCCCCTCTTCCCCCTAGAGGAACAAATACAGGTCGTCTCATAGGCCCGTCAGTACCAAGACTTCTCCGACCGCGCCTCACGGAGCGCACTTACTCTAATCGTGCCTCGATCCGAACACGGAAAAGCTGGGGGAATAGCTAGCAGTTTTGTCTCCATGCCCTACCCGACTCTGTCATAATCACATGAGCGCACCTCTCCAGGAAACTCGAACGCCCCTTTCGACATCCCCTAACCCGATCCAGGCCGCGGTAATGTCACGATGTCAGCCTCGAGTGGGATGCCATGGCCTTGGCAAATTGTCCGCATGCGCCTTCATTCGTCCAGTGGTTGATGCGGGCTGAGAATACACGAACCAACAATCTCGTCATGCGCTTCGCTGTATTGGTTGCCCTGCATGTCTACTAATCGTAGGCCGCTCACACGCATGAGAGTTCCCTGTGCACCGGCGGAGGGTTCGTCTCGTCGTCTTCTCTTCGATTGCCCTCGCCCAAGGGTCTTGAACTCTATGGATGTGACTGAAGTCCATCATAACTGTGTGAGGATGCGTGCCAAAATGTATGTCTGCCAGTGTTTCGTTCGGCCCTGCGCGACGAACCACCGTGGTGTGGCATTGCTATTGACGCTGCTGATCCGTCTTTGTGGCCCCTCTAAGTACATACCTACCTCCTCCTTGACCGAGGTGAGAGTGAACATGTGGGGCCCTTATTGGGCACCCCCGGTAGAGATCTGCATCGAGGACTCACGACTCCAAGTGCCACCAAAATCGAGCAACTCTTACGACAGACATCGCGATTGGGAAGAACGTCTCCAGCACAACGGGTGTGTATTCTGGACCTGGCTCGGATACTTCCCGAGTCACCGTTAGTTTGGTATCACCTTGGCTGCGTCACCGCGTGCTCGAGCCGGCGCAATGAGTTCTTCTTTGTCTGTTGCAAAGAAGCAACTTCGAACTCTCATGAAATCGAAGCTTGCAGACATTACACAAGAATCCGTTTCCATACAAAGTCTGCGCCTACCCTGCATGAATTGATAGACAAGCGGTATTCTGACTGTATCAGGTCGCAGTGTTTTCGAATCTCTCAAGACATTCAGCCCTTATCTCAATGCTGAACGCGTCAGCATTTTCCTGTCTATGCCCTCTGGCGAGGTACAGACTGATGCCATCGTGCGCCATGCTCTCTCGTCCGGGAAACAAGTGTTCATACCATATCTTCACAAATCACCGCTTGGCGAGAATGGCGCTCCGTCGAGGGTTATGGATATGGTGCGACTTCGTGATCTCCAAGACTACGAATCGATGCAGCCTGACAAATGGGGCATTCCCAGCATCGATCCAACCACGATCAAAGACAGACAAAGGATTATAGGAGGACCAGATGCTCACCATTCGGAGTCAACGACATTGGACATGATTCTGATGCCTGGTGTGGCCTTTGACCTTGACCCCGAGACTAGCCAGATAAGAAGACTAGGTCATGGACGTGGCTTCTATGACTTCTTCTTACAGCGTTACTGGGCCAAAACGGCACTTCTCAGCAGCGGGCAGCCTCATGCTGTTCAGCTCTACGGCCTGGCCCTCTCTGAGCAGTTTGTCTCTCCTGAGTCCGGCGGCCCGGTCCCTGTTGGGCAGTACGACAAGAATCTCCATGGACTGGTTCTCGGCAATGGCGAGATTAAGACCTCATCTGACAGCCCAGACACATCAACACTCCACCGACGATGATGAATCTTAAACATGGTATCATTTTTTTTTCCTAAAGCGCCGCCGTTGGCATCCCGTAATCTGGTCGTTTCGCGTGGTAACCGCCAATAGCTCAATCTTCGGATTGGGTGTGCCGCTACAAGCTTTGGATCAACGACACATTGTCGCCCTTCAGGAGAATTTGTCCTACAGGCTATTAGTCCTATACCTAGCACGATGAGCCTCCAAGCTTACCCAGTGAGCGCCTAGTCTCCTCCTTGTTTGTCTTCGTAATCTGCTTGACCTCGACAGCGTTATCGATGACGAGATTCATGAACTCGTCAAAGCCCTGTGCGGCGCGTCAGCCTCTGCTCCGCTCCCGAAGATATCTTATCCGTGTGTACCCTAATCTTGCCCTCAATCCGGATTGAAAGCTGCTCATACAGCCAGACCTGCACCGTGGCTTGCTGCTGCAGGAGCTTGAAGATGAAGTTGATGGGGGGTAGGAGCACCCTGCGACCACCACCGCCTCCGCGACCGGTCATCTTGGTATGCTGAAGTCTGACGGGGAGAAACTGTTCGCTGCGACCCAAAGTGCAATCGCGACTCGATCGGGTGAAACTTCGCCGGAGAACGTGGGGGGGGGGGCGGTATTCGTCTTAGGCTTCGTGGGTCGCGTTATCGTCGGATACAACCAGCTGCCAGTTTGGAGCTGGAAAACGTTTGAAATCCCCCCCCATGCGCCCAGTTCAGGTTCACCGAGGTGAGCGGGTTTCGGCTGGACTATCTTCCCTACTACCCCGCGCTAGAGATGTGGCGGCCTCCCCCTCCAGCCACATGCACACACACCTACAGGCACCCGTTGACCTGGCTTTTGGCCGGCTGCCCCGCCAGCAACCAGCCTAACATCCAGTTTTATTTTCCTCCACTGGGGGTGACATTGACCCGTGCGACCTCCCCACCAACAACAGCCTTTTAAGCTCAAGTATCGTGTCTAGTCCGACGGCCGTGTTTGCCTACCCAACCAAGACACCTCAGAAGCACACTCCTCTTTCGATACCCTTTTTCTTTGTGCCGCTCGACCTGGTTTCTGAGCTTTGACGCTGCTCAGCAGACAACCCTGGACCATCACGCAACATATACCCCTCGACGTCATCCCCCTGCTGCTTGCAAATAGCTCGTGGTTCATCCGACATATATCTACCTCTACTGCGTCAAGATCAACTTCGAACTCCTCCTTGAACGATCCTCCATCATGGCTGCCAACGGTGCGCAGGGATCGTACACTCCCGAGAATGTGCTTGCGGCGGTAGTCACCATGCGCGGTGGGGAGCGAGAGGCCAAGAAGCAGGCACACGAATACCTGGAGCGCTTTCAGAAATCGGTTGGTAGTCACCAGGATGCAAAAGTCTGAGAGGAAAGCGCTGACTTGGACTACAGAAAGATGCTTGGCCGCTCGTCATTGGCATCCTGCAGTCTGATGCCGATGCTGAGGCGAAGCTGTTCGCAGCTACAACGATGCGCGGAAAGGTTGGTTTGATCGCAACTTGCGTCGAATAGGAAATCTTCCTGGGGCCGTGTGTGCTAACAAGGATGGTAGCTCACATATGACCTTTCCACTGATATTTCGGATTCGGAGCTTCCTGCGCTTAGGGAGCAGATCCTCCTACTCCTGAAGCACTATGCATCCGGTCTCAGGCCGATCAGAGTCCAGCTCTGCGTTTGCTTGGCAGTCCTAGCTATACATATGAAAGACTGGAAGGATGTCCTCCCCGTCGTCGTGTCGGCACTGGAAGGACCCCAGAGTCACACCGCCGTTCTCGACTTCCTTCGCGTGCTTCCCGAAGAAGTCACCGAGGGCCGCAAGATCACCCTATCAGTACGTGGACCGCGCAACTGTCGGCTTTCCTGTGGTGCTCCTCGAACGCCCTTGCTTGGGCCGACGCTTTCGGCGATATAATTCTAATCGACATGGCAGGAAGAAGAGTTGTCTGAGAGGACGAAAGAGCTACTGGGCGACAATGCGGAACGAGTGGTCCACCTACTTGTCAACTATGCACAAGCATCAGGTACGTCCGGGTAGGGCTTCTGTCATGAGACGAGACTGATCGCGATTTATAGCCAAACCAGCCGACGACCCTCTGCTGATGGAGTGCATCACGTCGTGGCTGCGCGAGGTGCCCGTGAATACCATCGTGCGCTCGCCGCTTTGCGACGTTATTTTCAATGGTATTTCCGGCGACTCACCCAGGGAGGCTGCGGAGACCGTTTGCACGATCCTTCGAGAGACAAGAGATGTCGACGATAACCAAGACACCATCCAGCTCCTTCTTTCCCGGATCCTTCAATTGCAACCTAGGATTGAGAAGGCTGTAGCCGAGGAGGAGACAGAGACATACGAAGCCTTGACGAAGATTCTCGCGACTGCTGCCGAATCATGGGTTGTGGCCATTGTGCGCGAGCCAGGCCATTTCAGGCCTATCGTCGACGCTGTTCTCGAATGTGCTGCCCGCGACCGAGACCGTGAGGTCATCGAGCATACATTCGACTTCTGGTACGAGCTCAAGCAGTACCTTGTTTTGGATATCTACATTGAGGCGAGGCTTCAGCTCGTGGATGTCTACGGCAAGCTTGTGGATGTCCTCTTCAATCACCTCCGATACCCAGAAGGGAACGAAAACGACCTGTTTGAGGGTGATCGTGAGGCCGAGGAAAGATTCCGCGAATTCAGGCACCGCATGGGTGATACGCTTAAGGATGCCTGCGCCGTCATGGGAGTGACGGACTGTCTGACCAAGGTCCTGAATGGCATTAAGACGTGGTCAGCGGAGAGAAGCACCACCACCTCGGCCCCTGGTGTAGTACCGCACTGGCAGGAGCTCGAGGCCCCCCTATTCGCCATGCGTGCCATGGGTCAAATGGTTCCAAAGGACGAGAATATTGTCCTGCCTCAACTGATGCCCCTCCTGGTGGAGGTGCCCAACCACGAAAAGCTCCGGTTCGCGACCATCATGATCCTCGGCCGCTATACCGAATGGACAGCCGAGCACCGCGAATATCTTGAGCCGCAATTCACCTATATTGTCTCGTCCTTCCACACTGATTCTAAGGAGGTTGTCAGGGCGGCGGCCATGGCGATCAAGTATTTCTGCACTGACTGCAGAGAACTTCTCAGCGACCAAGTCCTCCAACTCCAGACTTTTTACGATCAGATTCTCGACAAGCTTCCCGACATGAGCCAGGAAGAGATCACAGAGGGTGTTGCGAGCGTGGTCGCCGTCCAGCCTGAGGCTGAGATGTACAAGCTTCTCAAGCTGTACTGTGATCCGCTCGTCGCCAGACTGATGAACAAGGCCAACAATGCCACTACCGAGGAAGGCAAGGTGGCTTTGGCAGGTAAGCAGAGGCGTCCAATGAGGTCGGAACTCGTCCGCTAACCACGCCACAGACCACGTGCAGCTGATCACCATCTTCGTTCAAATCGTCAAGCCGTACTCTGCTCCTGGAGCCGAGAACCAGGCAGTCAAATACTGGCAAGAGGTCTTCCCTGTGCTCGCAAAGATTGTCGAGAACTTCCTCGACTTTGTGCCCATTTGTGAGCGGATCTGCCGGTGCTGGCGCAACATGATCATCTCGTACAGGACGGCCATGACACCACTGCTGCCGGAGCTGGCAAACAAGCTGGCCAGCGGATTTGCCGCCTCCAGGCAAGGCGCATTCCTTTGGGTTACCGCGGCCATCATGCGCGAGTTCTCCGAGGAGCGCGAACACGTCGACCAGGCCATCACGCAGAGCATTTACTCCTTCTTCGAGGCCCAAGCCACGACTTTCTTGCGCGTGCTCAACGAGTTGCGGCCTAGTGAGCTCCCCGACGTCATTGAGGACTTCTTCCGGCTCCTCATTGATGCACTGCTCTACTTCCCCCACAGACTCATCCCTTCGGAGCTGCTGCTTCCAATTTACGAGGCCGCCATCTATGCCCTTACGCTCGAGCAACGCGACCCGCTGTCGGCTACTCTCCACTTCCTGCGGGATCTTTTGACATACGGTGGTGACAACCCGGCCACCTCGGACAAGCTGCCAGCGGACGTTGCAGCGAAGATCCAGGAAATCGTGAAGAGCCTGCTCGGCAGCCACGGCGAAAAGCTTGTCAAGCAGGTGCTGGCTGGCATGATGATCACGTTTCCCCGCGACTGTTTCGCCGACGGTAGCGGTGTGTTGCTCTCCATGTTCGAGCTCCTCCCCGCAGAGACGACTGTCTGGGTCGAGCGAACGCTGCAACTGTTGCCACAGGGCACCGTGACGCCTGCCGAAGCGAACAAGCTTATGATCAAGATCAAGGAGCGCATCGGCGGTGACCAGAACAACATGCGCCAGGTCAGAGCCCTTCTGCAAGACTTCACCAACACATACCGCCGACGATATGTCGCACCTCGCGACGGGCTCGGTCAACTTGAGGCAGATCGTTTCCGCTTCAACCGCTAGAGTCAGCCGGAAGTGGTCTTTGGTCTTTATATGCATTCAGTGGGAGAGGATACCAAGGAGATGATTTATGGCGGGGGCGTCGAAGCTTGCCCGAGCACGCCTGAAAGGAAGACGTACCCTGTGCGTCTGGCTCATCTCATGGTAGATGGTGACTGTGACACGAGACTGAGCACTTCGCGAGAATCAACACCAGACGAAGCCACGAGGCAGGGGAAGCTCGACCCTTCGTGGGTCTAACGCGACGAGCTGTGGGCCGGATTGGTGGGGCGTTTGGAGCCATAGCGATGGCTGGGTTGGAGGTTCGCGGTTCGCTGGGCTGGATGATGGGGGTTTAGGAGGGGGGGATGTGGGGGAGATGATCGCAGAGACATGGTGCATCGATGACATGAGAGGATGATGCCAAGCCTGAGGTCCTGGAGCAAATATAGACATGCAGCATAACGGAGCGCAAACCCCAAATATCAACAGTTTCAAGTTTATGAAGTGACACAGCAGCCGGAGATGTTGCATTATGGGACAGAAGCTGACGCCACGGTCGAGTGTTGTGCAACACTCCCAGTGTGTGAGGTTGGGGTCGGGTATGCTAGCCTCAGATCTGGTGTTTGTGTGGCGGCCAAACCCGACCATTCGGGTGGTTTCCCACAAAATCCTTCGGGCAGATCATAGCAAGAGACGCACAACGGATCCTGATGACACTGTGTCGTTCTCGGGCTTGCCAATCAAACCTAGCCTGCGCCGCTGACACGGGCGCGCCCTTCGGAAGTTCCTCTGCCCTATGATGACTGTTCACGAGGAGACAGGCTTGGCGCTTAGTCCGGCCGTCAGCTTATGAGTCTGACGGGAAACATACATAAAGACAGCATTTCGTCCATTCAGAGTAGTGGCGGCATGCTGTGCGACGATAAGAAACGTGCAACGGTACACAGCAGGAACCCTCCAACACGCCGAGATGAGCTCCGATGCCATGAACTTGTATGCGAACAGCAAAGTCAGCCTCGTCCCCTGGGACGCTCGCTCCGATGAACACACGACCCGCATGTTCGAGCAGCGTGTCGCCTGCGGCTGGCGGTCAGATGAGGTAGTCGAATGGCGCGAGAAGCAGCTGGAGGGCGGCAAATTCCTCTACTGGGTGGTACGTCTTGCTACAACATGATAGCCCACGCTATGAGTTGCTGCTGCTGCTGCTGCTGACATTGGTCGGTCAGGTCCTCGCCGATGCCATCCCTGGACGGGAGAAGCTCTTGTCAGACCATCTGACGACATACCCCAAGGAAACGACGCCGCTGCGGGACACGGCGGCCGACGTCTGGTTGACACCGCGGGCGGCGAGCGGCGAGGCCTTTTGGCCGATCGGGCACCTGGCGCTGGAGAAGCAGGCGGAGGACGACGCAGACATGGGCCTCGCGAAGGAGGGGTCCGTGTGGATCAAGCACCTGTACATCTCGTGGGCCATCCAGGCGGGCGGCATCGGCAAGGCGTCGATGCAGGCGGTCGAGGCGCTGGCCAAGCTGGAGCCCTTGTTTGGGACGACCATTGTGTTGGACACGGCACAGAAGGAGACGCAGTCTTCTGATGAGTGGAAGAGGTTCTTCTTCACGGACATGGGGAGGCCGATTCCCGAGGTGAGTTTTTCTCTTCGGATACGAGCACATTATCATGAGATTATTGCGTGAGGACAAGACTGATGGAACTGTCACAGCCGTTTAAGACGAATGAGGAGTGGTATGGGCGGATGGGTTATGAGGTGTTCTACATCGATCCGGTGGGTTTCCCGTGGCGGAACCCTGATGGCGTACACAGCTACATTCCCCGGGTGATGATGAAGAAAACGCTTGTATAAAGGGGCCTGTCCATGTTGTCGTGAGGGGACGGGCGGGAAAAAAGGTGCATTCGTAGAGGGATCTATACTAGAAAGACTAGGTATGGTATAGGGATGGCATAGCCTGATAGAAGACAGAGGGTGTTCACTACAGAGGGGCAAGATGCTCGGCCCCACAGAGGCGCACCCCCCCACGAAGCCCCCCTGTGTACCGTAGGCGCCTGCCCCCGCCCCCCATCTGAAGAACGTCCCACTATAACACCTGACTTCGCGGCAAGACGTGGCAGAGCGCGTCCCCTGTCAACTGATGGGCAGCCAAATCAACCTGTCAACGCGCCTGGCAACTTCCTCCAACAATTGCTTCCACGACCAGCGTGATGCTTGCTGTCCCTGCTTCCAACCACAGCACACCACCTTCCTCGCACTCACGCGGGACACTCTTCTTCACCTCTACTCGCCGTTCTCTTTCTGGGACACTGAATCATCAGATCAACATTGCCTTGCGCCTGCAACACCTTGCCGCCGTGCTGTCTCACTCCTTTATTGGCGACATCCTAGGCTGTCCACCAGATCCGACTTCGCCGAGGAGGCTCGAGTGCCGCAATCCAGTGCAGCAACTGACCGCAGTGCAGCATTCAATATCTACCTCGAATAGATCGACCTTCGTGGCGACGACGCATAGGCAATATGCCGCCCAGCAACAGCATCAGTAGAATGGCGCAGTATGCCCGTGGCTTGCCTGACCCAAACGCCAACCAAACACATAACGGTGCCAGCACATACTTTCCGCCCGTGTCCAATCCGCGGGACGCCATGGCGGACTCGATCAAAATGCCTCTGCCTAGAGCGTCGGCACCTTTGCGCGCTTCTGCCCCGCCTCGTGAAGTCGGCGCTCCCACCGTTGAGCCTCCATCTTCTCCTGGAGTCGGAGCACTCCCCGACCCGCCTCGCGGCCTCCTCGCCCGACGACGAACAAACTCAGCCGACCACCCTGATCGGCTCTGGGCGCCCTCGTTGCCATCCGCCATCGCCACACCAGCAGGCTCGCCCACGTCTACCTCGGCCGAAACACAGTACAATGATCGTGACCGAGACTATGACTTGGGGATCACACGACGAGCAGCCTCGACCGTGGCTGTACCGAGGAGCCCTCCGCGCTACATAGAACCCATTCGGCCCCTGCACGCGAACGGACTGGGAAGCCACAACGGAATGCGAGATGGACTGCAAGGCAACAACCCTCGACCTCGGTGGATGGGCGACCCGAGCATGGGGTTCCTTCCGTCCCCAACAAAACGCCAGACCGAGCTTCCAATTCATAACGTGAATCCTTTGAAGCCGTTTCCCGAGGTTTCCAATCTTGTCAAAGAAGAGCACATCAAGCAGGAACACCGAAAGTCGCCCAGTCGTGACAGGCCCTTGCCCCACCAGTCGAAGGGACACAGAGACCAAGCCAGAGCCCAACCGCGTTCGGCGTTTTTCGACCATGATGCCGACTCTGATGTGAGGAGCCTTCGGTCTGACATGCCTCTTAGTGACGAGGAGCCCGGCACCCCTCGGCCTCTGCAGAGAGAGGGCCGCAGGGCCGATGTCTTCTCGGACGACCCTCCACCGCCCTGGCCCGCCAACCGAGTCATCACCGTCAGCGGCAAGAGTAAGAAGCGCGATCGCAACAACGTCGATTATGATGACAAGACTCTTATGCGCATGAGTTACTCGGACCTGCAGAATCAGCCCTTTGATGCGGACCCCGCCCAAGCCGCAAGCGGGGCAGACAAGTCCGTCGTCGGCGAGACGTTGCCCGAGAAGCTGGAGCATTACCGGAGCAAGAGCACCACGGAGCAGAAGCAGTTCTTCGCCGAGCTTGACCTGGGCGATTGGGAGCGATCGGGCGACTGGTTTCTGGAGCAGTTTGGCCGTGTGGCGCAGAAGCTAAAGGAGACCCGACAGAATAAACGGGCAACTGTGGAGACATTTGAGACGGAGCTGGCGAGCCGCGAGGAAGCTGTCCGGCTGCGGACGGAGAATATCAACCTGAAGCTCAAGAAGATCAAGAGCAAGGGTGAGGACATGCTGTCGGACAAGGCAGACTGAGGCACGCTACATGGATGGGCTGGCGCTTCTGATTTGACGACTGACACGACTAATGACAATGATACCTGGGTCGAGGATAAGATGTTGGCCGTCATCCACACGATGGACCACGCAAGTGTACACTATGGCACGAGGCTGAAAGGACTGGTTTTGTAGAGAATTGACGGTTACGCTAGGGTTGGTTCTAGATGATGTGCGTCTCCTTGACCTTCCTGTCCTTGCCGACCACCATCCTGACCTGCTTCTCGGGGCGGTCCGGGAAGACGCCCCTGCGCAGGGCGTCGGCGTAGAGCTCGTAGGCGGGGTAGTAGCCGTCGACAAACTTGACGACCTCGTCGGGGGTCATGCCGGCGCCGCGCTCGGCGCGCAGGGCGACCTCCTGCTGGGCGCGCCAGTCGTAGGCGTAGGACGTGTCCTCGGCGTCAATGTGGACAAAGACGTCGAGCAGGTCGGTGATGGCGTCGTACTCGCGCAGGCGGTCGTTGACGAAGAGGAGGTGCTCGAGCTTGTGCTTGGCCAGGGTGCGCGAGGGCCCGCGCCAGCGGGCCTCGACCTCGGCGTCGGGCAGGGCGCGGAAGCCGACGCACCAGCCCTCGACGATGACGACGTCGATGCGCGGTGACGGCGACGGCGACGGCGACGGCGACGGCGGCGTGCCGGCAGGACCCGTCCCTTGACTGTTGATGGCGATCCAGGTGTCTTCCGGGGCGCGGTCGCCCTTGCCGTCAAAGGCGGCCTTGTCGTAGGCCGGGACGCGGGCGGGGCGGCGGGCGAGGACGTCGGCGAGGAAGGCGCGCGCCAGGGGGATGTCGTGGGTGCCGGGCTCGCCGCGCTGCTGGAGCAGGGCGTTGTCGGGGTGGGCGGCGGCGAGGGCGCGCTGCGCGGCGTGCGGCAGGTAGAGGTCGTCGATGGAGAGGACGAGGGCCGGGTGGGCTTCGGCGGCGAGGGCGTCGGCGAGGGAGCGGACGAGGGTCGTCTTGCCGACGCCCTGGACGCCGTTGAGGCCGATGAGGAAGGGGCGCGCCTTGTCGGGGCCCTCGGCGGCGAGGTGGTCGGCGAGGTGCTCGAGGATGAAGGGGATGCAGATCGGGGACTTGTCGTCGAGAATGGCCGCCATGGTGGTGTTGGTTCTTACCGTCTGGCAGAACAGTCGTCTACGGGTGGGGTGTGCACGGGAGGACTGGGAGATTTTTTGAACTTGCGAGTAGATGCTCGGCGAGTAGATGCTCCTGGTTGTAGCCAGGTCCCAGCATTCGGAGCGTGGATCACGGCGGCATTTTGTCGCTTGGCCGGCCGCCGTGCAGCTTGGCCGACGCCGGCAACGGGAAGAAGGCTGCGCCGGGCGTGCGGGGTGTCATGGCACGACTCGGGTGGGAGTGGGAGAAGAAAAGGCCGCTGCCTGCGCCAGAGCGCGCTAGAGCCTCTACACCGTAGAGCCTCTCGACTGCCTTGACTGCCCACCCAGGTACCTGTCTGGGTAGCTTCAGGCACTACCCCAGGCACCCCGGGGATTACCGGGGTATGCCTCTTGGGATGCGAGGTGTCCTCCTTGCTCGCCTCTCCTTGCCCACGTCTTGCTCGCCTCTCCTTGCTCACGTCTTGTTGAGCTTCTTCTCTTTGTCGCATACCACCATCATCGTCACTGACATCATTCACCACCACTGATTGATTCCTGAACATGTCTCTTCAAGATTGCCCCGCAGAGATTCTACTCGACATTTTCCAGCACCTGGACTCGTCTAGCCTGGCATTACATCTTGTCTTTGCTCTACCTGCCCAACATTGAGGTGTTATCCATCTCGGTGGCAAATCATGACCCATTTATGTGGCCTTTTAAGCATGATCCGACCCCGTTGGCTCTGACCTCCCTCGTGCTCTCACGGCTTCGCGAAACCCAGTTGAGACTGATTCTGTCAGCCGCCAGCAACTTGACACACCTCACCTACAACTGGCTTTTTCACGAAGCAGGCGACGCGAGCATTAGCATACCCACCGTCAATCTGAGCCAGCTCGGAGGCATACTTGCAAAACACGGACATGCTCTGTCTTATTTGAGGAGCAAGGCTACATCGTGGTATGCTCTCCAGCGGGGAGGTTATGATGCCCCTGAAGTCCACATCGTTGGTACGTTGAGTGGACTGTCCCAGCTGGCGAAGGTGAAAAAAGTACAGGGTCCATGGATTTTTGTCGTCGACGAGGAAGAAGAATGTGAAACACCCAGACGGCTCAGCCAGATAGTATCTGAGAGACTTGAACATCTCATGCGTACAGCGGACTTGTCAGATTCTATCTTGTTTTCCTTGCCGGACGAAGAGGTTGCCTCAACCCTCCAATCAGAATTCCAGGGTGGTGCGCTACTCACAGCGCAAGGTCTCCAAGTGGTTCAAATCCCACCAAGCCGCCGTATGCATGGCCTCTCACGCGAGAGTCGCAACGAGCTCGTGCGCCTACAGGACCCATCCAACATAACAATCGGGAACTTGCCAATGGGTTCCAGGTAGTTAGGCCTGCAGACGAGCTAGCGACTTGCCCGCACGATGGACTTCGACACGGGCCCCTCCTTCACACTCAAGACTCCCTACCCCAGATACATGTGACAAGTCTGGGGCGCATGACTTGCCCCAAGTTTGCGACGTCATGTCAGCACAAGCATGTGAAGGTCTAGGGCCTTGGGGAGCTCTCCCGATGCGGCCTAGCGGGACCCCTCGGCTCAGGTGTGCGGCACTGGAATGGGTGCCTCGGCTCCCCACAGCCCCCAGCCCCAGTGAGATGCCCCCCCCCATCGTTACAGTGACCGAGCGACGGACATGACGGTTACGGCTTCGGGCACAATCTACCGTTGCTGCTTCCCGACTCCATCCCGAGGCTCTTCTTGACTCTCCATCTTTCTCTCTCCTCCCCTCCAAGTTCAACCTTTCCCATCTTCATATCTACTGAGCCATCTTGCCCTTTGATACCCCCCATCCCTTGAGAGTGCTGCCGTCCATCCTTTCCTCTTTATCCCACCACTTCCATTCCCTTCTCCTCCTCTTCCCTTCCTCCCCCTCTACCTCCCCCTCTACCTCCCCACATCACACAAGTCTCGTCGTCAACCCGACCGAGACAATCATCATCATGGCCGATCAGCTGCGATTTGACGACCAGGTCGTCGTTGTCACCGGCGCTGGTGGCGGCCTCGGCAAGGTCTACGCCCTCTTCTTCGCCTCGCGCGGTGCCTCTGTCGTCGTCAACGACCTCGGCGGCTCCTTCAAGGGCGAGGGCACCTCCAGCAAGGTAAGCATCCTCGAACCCCCTCCCACCCCAGAAATGCGCAATTCTCCTTCGAAAAGCCGTCGCTGACATGGCATCGCCCCTTAGGCCGCCGATGTCGTCGTCAACGAGATCAAGGCCGCTGGCGGCAAGGCCGTGGCCAACTACAACTCCGTCGAGGATGGCGACAAGATCATCGAGACGGCCATCCAGGCCTTTGGTCGCATTGACATCCTCATCAACAATGCCGGTATCCTCCGTGACATCAGCTTCAAGAACATGACCGACCAGGACTGGGACCTCATCATGAAGGTCCACGTCCGTGGCGCCTACAAGTGCGCTCGCGCCGCCTGGCCTCACTTCAGGAAACAAAAGTACGGCCGCGTCATCAACACGGCCTCTGCCGCCGGTCTGTTCGGTAGCTTCGGCCAGGCCAACTACTCTGGTATGCTCCTATGAGAGCCCCCCCCCCCCCCCTCCCTCAGTGAGCTGCACAGCCCTAACAAACCGTCCAGCTGCCAAGCTCGCCATGGTTGGCTTCACCGAGACCCTCGCCAAGGAGGGCGCCAAGTACAACATCCTCTCCAACGTCATTGCGCCCATTGGTGAGTTTTCCCTGCCAACCTGCCAATTCCAGGTCACAGCAGGTCACAGGACCCAATTGACTGACGCCCCATGCCAGCTGCGAGCCGCATGACCGAGACTGTCATGCCCCCTGACGTTCTCGAGAACCTCAAGCCCGACTGGGTCGTCCCCCTTGTCGCTGTCCTCGTCCACAAGAGCAACACGGAGGAGAACGGCACCATCTGGGAGGTCGGTGCCGGCCACGTCGCCAAGTTCCGCTGGGAGCGGTCCAGCGGTCTCCTTCTCAAGGCCGACGACAGCTACACCCCCGGCGCCGTCCTCAAGGCCTGGGACCAGGTTGGCGACTTCTCCAACCCCCAGTACCCTTCGGGCCCTGCCGACTTCTTGACCCTGCTCGAGGACTCCATGAAGAAGGGCCCTAGCGCCCAGGGCGAGAACCCCGACTTCACGGGCCGTGTCGCTCTTGTCACTGGTGGTGGTGCCGGGTGAGTCTTCCTATTCGCTCGAGGTCTTCCATCTTCAGCTGCTAATGCTTCTCAGTATCGGCCGCGCCTACGCTCTGGCTTTCGCCAAGTACGGTGCCTCGCTTGTCATCAACGACCTCGCCAACCCCGATGACGTCGTCAACGAGATCAAGGCGGCCGGCGGCAAGGCTGTCGGCGTCAAGGCCTCTGCCGAGGACGGTGATGTGGTCGTCAAGGCGGCCATCGACGCCTTTGGCCGTATCGACATCATTATCAACAATGCCGGCATCCTGCGCGACAAGGCTTTCAACAACATGGACGACAGCCTGTGGGACCCCGTCCTGAACGTTCACCTTCGCGGTACCTACAAGGTCACCAAGGCCGCTTGGCCCTACTTCCTCAAGCAGAAGTATGGCCGTGTCATCAACACGACCTCGACGAGTGGCATCTACGGCAACTTTGGACAGGCCAACTACGCCGCGGCGGTACGTTATCTGCCTGACTCTTCTTCTTCCTTTTCCCACAAAGACTGACGTATGCACAGAAATGCGGTATTCTCGGCTTCTCCCGCGCCCTGGCCCTCGAGGGTGCCAAGTACAACATCTACGTCAACACGATTGCGCCCAACGCCGGCACGGCCATGACGAGGACAATCATGCCCGAGGAGATGGTGCAGGCTTTCAAGCCCGACTACATCGCGCCCGTCGTGCTCGCGCTCTGCAGCGACAAGGTGCCCAAGAACCCGACCGGCGGCCTGTACGAGGTCGGCAGCGGCTGGGTCGGTCAGACGAGGTGGCAGCGATCCGGCGGCCACGGATTCCCCGTCGACGTGCCCCTGACGCCCGAGGCTGTCCTGCAGAAGTGGGACGCCATCAGGAACTTTGACGACGGCCGTGCGGACCACCCGTCCAAGGCGCAGGATGCCGTCCAGAAGGTCATGGACAACATGGCGAACAAGAGCAAGAAGGTATGAGAAGCTTCTCTGTCATCTGACGGTGATGCCATGTCCTTTCTTCCTTTATCTGCGCACACATATTGTACCATAGCCACGTAGCCAAATGAACCCAAAAATCGTTAACGCCCATGTCCTCCGTCAATAGTCCTCCTCCAGTGAACCTCAGGCCCCGTCCCCCTCCGACGAGGGCGCGCAGTACCGCGAGGCCATTGCCAACGCGCTCAAGGCCGACACGATCCCTTCCGACTTTACCTACACGGAACGCGACATCGCTCTCTACAACCTGGGCATTGGTGCCAAGCGCGACAACCTCGACTACGTCTTTGAGGGCGCCGAGGACTTCCGTCCCGTCCCGACCTTTGGCGTCATCCCGCCCTTTGGCGCCGAAACGTCGTTCAACTATGACGACATTGTGCCCAACTTCTCGCCGATGATGCTGCTCCACGGCGAGCAGTACCTCGAGGTGAAGAAGTACCCGATCCCGACGGCGGCGCACCTCGTCTCGCGCGCGCGCCTCCTCGAGGTCGTCGACAAGGGCAACGCGGCCATCGCGCGCAACGGCATCTCGACCGTCATCGCCGAGACGGGCGAGGAGGTCTTCTACAACGAGATGACCGTCTTCCTCCGCGGCTGCGGCGGCTTCGGCGGCCAGGCGCGCCCCGCCGACCGCGGCCCCAGCACGGCCGCCAACAAGCCCCCCGCGCGCAGCCCCGACGTTGTCGTCGAGGAGAGGACGACGGAGGAGCAGGCGGCCCTCTACCGCCTCAGCGGCGACTACAACCCGCTCCACGTCGACCCGTCGTTTGCCCGCATGGGCGGCTTCAAGAAGCCCATCCTGCACGGCCTCTGCACCTTTGGCTTCGCCGGCAAGGCCGTCTACGAGCGCTTTGGCGCCTTCCAGAACATCAAGGTCCGCTTCGCCGGCACCGTCCTGCCGGGCGAGACGCTTGTCACCGAGATGTGGCAGGAGGGCGGCAAGGTGCTGTTCCAGACCAAGGTCAAGGAGACGGGCAAGCTCGCCATTGCGGGCGGCGGTGCCGAGCTCGTCGGCAAGGCGTAGACTGGGTGCATGGCGTGGCGAGTGTGGAGGCGTGTGTGTAGGTAGGTGTAGGATACCAAGAGATGTGTGCGCATGTCAATGAATGCGATGTATGCACTTTATTCTGATAATCAAAAGACGCTCGTTTCTGTGCTGCTGGGCCGTGTGGAATGTCCTCGTTGCTCTGCCCTCTGCCGCTCATGTCGGCTCGAATTGTGTATACCATGTCTGCTCCTGACGCCGTGTTCGTCCTGACCCATGTTCGTCCTGACCCGTGTTCGTCCTGACGCCGTATTCCGTCTGTGTTCGTCCCGACTGCGATTTCATGTTCCGCAAAAAATGCCTTCTATCCCATCCTTTCTACCCGTTGCCATGCTCATACCGTTGCCATGCTCATACCAGGCCCAGACCCAGCGGAAAGGGGGCCGTCACACAAACAGATTCTCGACGACGAGGTCGCATATCTGCGCCACAGACGGCAGGCGGCCGGCACGCAGGACCTGCTCGACCGAGAGGTCGTCGCGGGCGGGGGCGGCGGCGGCGAAGCCCGTGTCGAGGAAGACGCGCTCGGCGCCGCTGAGGTCGCGGGCCTCGGTCTCCTTCCAGCGGCGCTCGGCCTCGTCGCGGGCGCGGCGCAGGACCTCGTCCGTGTCCTCGCTCTCCCAGAGGTTGCAGCGGTCGCACTCGTCGCAGGGGCGGGGATCGCCGTCGGGGCGGAAGTGGTCGCAGAAGTGGCGGTAGCCCTCGCCGGCGCCGTCGGGCCCGCCAATGTCCTTGCGGCAGACGTAGCACATTTTGTAGCCGCAGGGGCACGTGAGCTTGTTGCAGCCCGAGTTCTTGACAAAGGACGTGGCGCAGCGCGGGCACACGCGCTTGATGGCGAGGCTCATGGCCTGCTCGACCTGCGTGCGCAGCGCGACGAGGGACGACTCGTTGCAGACGTGCACGTCGGCCCAGGGCTTGGCGCAGGCGAGGCACGAGGTGCGGCCGCAGCGCGGGGCACGGCAGGTGAACTTGGGCCCGCGGCGGCGGCGGCGGCGGCGGTGCAGGGCGCGCGACCAGTGCGTCGCCAGCGAGGCGCGCGACGTGGTCATGGCGAGGCAGAGCAGCGACGACAGGAGCACGAGCGGCATGAGGAAGGGGATGGAGCCGACGCAGAGGAGCAGGAAGACGGCGCTGAGGACGCCGTCGGCCTTGGGCCGCAGGCTGTCCTCGTGCTGGGGCAGGTAGATGTCGTCGACCTCGGCGTAGTCGCAGAAGGGGCAGCGGATGAGGGGCAGGCCCGAGGCGAGCAGGCTGTGGTCGGCGAGGCGCTGGTCGAGCTTGTGCAGGATCTCGGCGCCCTTCTTCTCCTCGAGCATGGCGCGGTGGAGGTGGTGGGCGGGGATGTGGCCGCCGCAGCCGGGGCCGTCGACGGCCAGGCACCGGAGGGTGCCGGCGCGGGTGTCGATGCTGCTGTGCCAGCCCTGGCCGAAGACGGCCTCGGTCAGGGACAGCTGCACGCAGCGGAAGCAGATCATGTGGGCGTCGGCGTTGCACTGGGTAAACTCCTCAAAGGTCGACTCGGTGAAGCAGCAGCAGCACTCGTGCAGGGCGTCGACGGCCTCGGCCTCGGCGCTGTTCAGCACCCGGGCCAGGCCGCGGTCCTCGTCGAGCTGGGTCGCGCGGGCGCGGTCTTTCAGGGGGCGGATGAGCTCGTCGTACAGCTCGCGGTCGAGCTCGGCATGTCCGGTGGCACGCAGCGTCGGCGTGATGGAGCCCTGGCCGGTGGATCGCCAGATGACGAGGGGGTGGTTTTCGGCGTCGCCGGCGGTGGCGGGCTTGCGGCGGGAGAAGAGGGACGAGATGGTGAAGCGCCAGGACTTGGCCGACAGGTCGAGCAGGGTCTTGCGTGCGTCGAGATAGGAATAGTTGAACTCGGCGAGCACGGCGTTGACGGCGGCGCGCGTCAGGCCCTTGAACTCGGTCCAGGCCAGGGCTTGGACGGCCTTTTTGTACTCGTCGCTGCGGAAGGCGTCCTTGTGCGGGACGGTCGGAACGGCTGGCGAGGCATCGCTGGAGGCATCGCTGGAGGCATCGCTGGAGGCGTTGTCTTCGATGGTCCTCCATCGGCCCTTGACCCAGTTGACGTGGTTCTTCAGCAGCGCATCGGCGACGACGGCGAGTCTGGATTCGCCGTCAAAGTTGGACAGCATCTCGCGGAAGACCTCGGGTTGGACGTTCGGAAACAGGGCCGCCAGGGCCTCGAGGCTGTTGTTGAGCTCGCGGAGATCGGGACATTCTTCGGGCGGGTCCTGCAGCTGGGCCTCGTCGTGGATGTATTCGAGACGGGGTTCGGGGGGGTCGGTCGAGGGGGTCGTCAGAGAAGACTTGGAGGAGCGATGGGATAGGCGTCGATCAGCGGACGTGCCGAGGAGTACTGTGAACGGCATGGTGCCTGCTCATGGTTGTCGCATGCCCGAGTGGCATATCTTTTTTTTCCTTCTTCTTCTTCTTCCTTTCGGCAAAGGGCGTGAGAGGGAGAGTGGCGTGCTGTGGGAGAAAGTGGGAAATGGTCACGAGAGGACTCTCCGACGTGGCAGAGCAGAGCAGAGGCAGAGGCTGAGGCACAGGCAGAAGCAGGTGCCGAGAGGAGAGGAGAGGAGAGGAAGGAGATTCAGGGCCACGATAAGGCACTGTGCGTGCCGTGCTATCTGGCTTTGTCACGGTGTACTTGCTCCAGGTGCAGGTACTTCGCAGCTCGGTCCCTGAGGTACAAGAGGCATGGAAAGAGAGTATTTTCCACACCGCATCTCATGGTCATTTCAAGATGGATCAATGTTTCTTTATTTTTGTTTTTAGTTGTTTTATTTTTCAATTGAAAAATCTCACGGTATACAGTCGTACCACGTCCACTACACACCCCCAAGCGGCAACATGCACATGCACATCCATCTATGACTTGCGGTGCAGAACACCAGCGCCAGCCTGTCCAACAATCAGTCTCCTCGTCTTCATCACGCCAGGGTCCCCTCTGTCTTACCTGGTGGTTGGGGAACACGAGCGTGTCGGCAATGACCACGTTCTCCCGCCTTGTCGCGCTAAAGACGATGACCTCGGCAATGTCGTCAGGGGTCAGGGGCTCGCAACCACTGCGACGCTGCTGTCAGCCATCCGCATGTCCCATTGTCATGACGGCCGCGCGCTGTACAGTGGGCGTCTGTGCAGTCGACGTCGGGGTGCTACTCACGCATAGACGGCATCGGCCTTGGCCTTGTCGCCGTAAAAGCGGACAACCGAGAATTCCTGCTGCTGTCAGCTCTCTCTCTGAGGGCAAAGCAGCAAGGACAGCGGGCAGCCCCAACGTACCGTCTCGACTTGGCCGGGATCAACCTCCATGACACGGATCCGCGTCGCGATGAGCTCCTTGCGCAGCGCGTCTGTGAAGCTGCGCACGGCAGCCTTGGTGGCGCAGTAGATGGAACCCCCGGCGTACGGCTCACGGCCTGGATGTGGTCAGCAACAGACAAGAAGCACGGCTGACGACCGCCAGAGGAGGCAATCAAGCATCACCCACCAGCAATGGAGCCCACGTTGATGATGTCGCCCGCCCCGCCGTCGGCCCGCTGCTTGAAGATGGGCAGCACGGCCTGCGTCACGTTGATGAGCCCCGTGACGTTCGTGTCGAACATGGTGGCCATGTCGGCCTCGGCAATCTCCGGCGCCCTGGCCACGCCCTTGACGAGCCCGGCATTGTTGACGAGCACGTCGATGGCGCGGAACGCCTCGGGCAGGCCGGCGACGAAGCCGCGCACGGCGTCGGGCTTGCTGACGTCGAGCGCCACGGGCAGCACCTCGACGCCGTCGCCGACCTCCCTGACGATGTCGTCGGCGATGGCCCGCAGCGTGTCGACGCGCCGCGCCGTCAGGATGAGCTTGAGGTTGCGGGGCGCTGTGCGCGCAAACTCAAAGGCTGTGCTGCGGCCGATGCCGCTCGAGGCCCCCGTGATGAGCACCGTCTTGCCCTCGAGGCGCTTGGCCGCCGCGGCGGACGCCATGGTTCTGGCGATGCTGCTGTTGTGCTTGAAGGAGTGTGTGAGGGTATGGCGAGCAAGGAGGAGTGAGCCGAGGGTCCTGACTGTGTGGTTGAAGCGTGTCATGTGTAAGGGAGAGAGATGAAAATAGACACAGGCTTTTCTTCGCGCAGCGGATCAAGCACCCAGGGTAAGGTACCGCAAGGCAAGGTAGGTAGGCAGGTATCCCCGTTGGCCTTGCGAGATAGGAGGTTGTCGATGGTGTCTGTTCCCCTAGGCCGTTTCGGCTGCCGAGAGGGAGGGGGGGGGGGCACCCCGATAAGGCCCCGTGAGCCGTGGACCGACGCAACCCCGCCGTCGCAAGCCCCCTGAAGGCCTGAACCGACCCCTGGAGCCCGCCGCGGGGTTGACAACGTGCGCGCCCTGCGTCGCCCGATAACGGCGCCAGACCCCCGCAATTCCAGCCTTGCACCATCTCGCCGCCCATGACGACAACCATGTGTGTCATGGCCTGGCGTGGCAGCTCACAAGCAAAGGGACTCGTTTCTCGGAAAGCTGGTACAGCTTCAACTTGACACTGATGGATTCCAATCCCTTCACTGGGTCATACTGTAGTCACTGCAAGACCGTTTGCACCAAAAGGCTGCCTACTACAAGGTGGGCATCACAAGGTGGGCATTGTAACACTGACGCAAACCAACGACCATGTCACAGCAGCAGGCTCGACACATTGACGAAGAATCCATCATGATGACGCCGCTTCCGCTCCTAACCGTTATATAGACCCGCTAGGATCTGAAGGCAACTTGCCACGGCAAGTCCTGATGCCGGCCTCCAGCACCGTCGGCCCCAAAATAGGATCCATGTGGCTGTCCGTGTTGTTTCCCCATCTTGCCGGTCTCAGATCTCCCCCTGAACCGATACGGTACGAACGACACTCTGATCGTTACGACTCAGTGTACATGGTCCGATTGTTGCCTCAAGACAAGATTCTGAGAGCCTTTACCGCAGACGACAATTTTGTCGCCTTGAACCAGGGAGAAGATGAACCCCCGATGGGCTAACGGTCAAAATGTTCTTGTAAATGCTCACCTCTATGCGGGCCTTGACAGCGCTGCGGAATCCTTCTGCGCATGTCGTTGCACCTTCGCGAATGTCTGGAGGATAGTTCCATTCGATCAAGCACAAAGAGAAGCCGATGCCCGGGAACTTGTCAACGAGATCACCCGAGATGTGGCATCACTCGTGGGTTTGAAGCTCGGCCCTTCCAGAATGATGTCTCCGTTTCTGGGCGGATGCTTGGTGTGAACGGTCACGGAAAGATAGTCTCTATGAGGTTGATATGCCAGACTGCTATGAAGTCATGGTAGCAGCTCCGGCTAGCTTCATCCTTTGAGAAAAACATCCAGCCGAAGCCCCTTTCGCGACTGTAGACCCCAACCATCATGGAGTGCATTACATGCCAGCCCTACCCGTTTCCCTTCACCAGCGAGGCTCTACAGCAGATGCGCATGTCCTACAGTTCCATGCTGATTATGGGCTTCCAGACGCGAATGTTTCGAATACCTCTCGTGAACTGACATTGACCTTTTCCCGGGCTTCGAGGGACAAATTCGTACCAGACCGGCCCCATCGTCGAACGTCAACTCCGCTTGTACGGACTGCCGAGCGGCACCTCATGGGAGCGCGCTGTTTCGTCGAAACCGCTCCGCTTGAAGTCCCATCTTCCGTCAACACACAGACATACATTGGGAAAACGTCCTTCTGGATGAAGCAGGCACCATCGAAGGGATCATTGATTGGGAGTGGGCGTAAACAGCTTCGTTCCAGGTTTCTCATCCCTGTCGACCAACTGGGCACCCAGCCCTTTACTAGGTAATGGTGCTACAGTTGCTCTGCATGGTGACGATGATGAGAATACTTCGCCGCTTACTAGTCTCCAAGAAGAGGAGACTGTGAAGAATCATTGTCGAAGATATTTTCTTCAAGGGCTGTGCTATAGAGGGAGCTGGCCGGTTGTCTGAATGGCTACTACTGGCCGGAAGTGTGTCCAGAACATCCTCCGCGCCTGAAGAATTGCGTCAAGGCTCTTGAACATGATGACTGAATGGCGTTATAAAATTTCGGGTATATGGTAGGGTGAAGCATGTAGCAATCGTCTCTGCCAATTTTCTTTTCCGTTTGTGTTGCGATGTGAAGGGAAAATGTCTCGCGAAACCGATGTTCTTTTAGGAAAATTTATTGTTTTCCCTTCCCTTTTTTTTTCTTTTCAGAGAAAGCAGGCTCATTGTGAGATTGGCAGCTACAATCAGGACGCCTCAAGGCAAGCGTTTGATGATTCATCCACCAGCCGGTAATTGACGAGGATGTTGAAGTCTCATGTCGGTTGGACCACTCGAAAATCCGAGCTTGCTGACTCTGCCTTCACCTGCCGAGCCATGTTACAATGAAGACAAAAGAGACGAAGGTCTAGAAATTAAAAAATCATGGAAAGTCCTTTCTTTTTTTATTTCACTAACAATCAAGATCAGCGTTCTTGTAGTGTACGTCAACCAGCATGGGAATAGATGGCACCCATCCAGGGGATGCTGACAGTCACGTGCACGTGCCACGGATGGCCGCGAGCACCTGCCTCGTTGTTGCGGGACAGCCTGCTTAGTAGGTCTCAAGATTACCTCATCACCATCATCATGAGCTTCAGCTTGGACCAGTGAACTACAAACGTCACTCCCTCTCAACGACATACACGCCAGCCATCACAACCCATGATTGCCGAAGAGCAAAAGAGCAAACCGAAATAAAGGATTCTTACAAAAACATTTCTTCACCTCAAATTGATGTTTTGACCCGCCTATACGTGATCTCGAGATGACGGAGGTCGCTACCATCCAGACACAAACCCCGCCTTTGCTGTCAGGGCCCTCAGAGAAGGAACGCAAATATGACCGCCAGTTGAGGCTGTGGGCCGCCAGTGGCCAGGCTGCTCTGGAATCCTCCAGTATTCTGCTCGTCAACTCATCCTCAGGCACCGTGGGCGTCGAGACGTTGAAGAACCTAGTGCTGCCGGGTTCGTATCGGCCAACCCCTCTTTGCCTGCGCCCTGGAACTGACCTCGTCCAGGCATCGGCAAATTCACCATAGCCGACGGCGCCAACGTGCAAGAGGCAGACCTCGGCGTGAACTTTTTCCTCGATGCCAGCAGTCTTGGCAAATCGAGAGCCCAGGCTTGCGCCGACTTGCTTGTCGAGCTCAACCCAGAAGTCGAGGCCGACTGGTTCCCGAAGAACAGCGTGAGATTGAGACAAGAACCGGCCGGAAACAACGCGCAAACAAGGCTGACCATGATACCCAAAGGAGCCGTACGACCTCGCCAAGGTGCTCGAGAGCCCTGAGCCGTACACCATCATACTCTACGCTCTGCCCATCAAGCCCGAAGATCTCAAGAGTCTCGAGGCGTACGCGGCAGACCACAAGACGCCATTGATTGCCGTTCATTCGGCCGGCTTTTACGCTTATTTTCGCGTCCACCTGCCCGCCGCGTTCCCCATCGTGGACACTCATCCAGACGAGACCGCCACCACCGACCTGCGGCTGCTCACACCATGGGCGGAGCTCTCCACCTTTGCACAGGACATGACCAAAGATATCGACGGCCTGGACAATCATGAACACGGTCACCTACCTTTCGTGGCCATCCTGCTCCACTACCTCGAGGCCTGGAAGCAGTCCCACAGAGGCGAGTACCCGTCGACCTACCAGGACAAGGTCGCCTTCAGGAGGGTCGTAGCCGAGGCGGCAAGGACAGACACCCCTGAAGGTGGCGAGGAGAACTTTGACGAGGCTGCTGCGGCCGTCCTCAAGACGATATCGCCACCTTCGCTTCCAGAGTCCCTGCGACACGTCTTCGAATACCAGTCTGCTGACCTTGTAAGCGTCCGATCCCTTCCCTCTTGGCAACGGGTGGACCACTGTCTTTGGTGGTCCCCTCTCACTTACTCATGCCCCCGTCTGAACCTTCTGTGGCGAGGGAAGAAAAGGGGTGGGGGATGTGGCTCGTCTGAGGAAGCGAGTGGCTGGCTAATATTGCGTCGTGCAGGAAGAGACACAGTCTAGCTTCTGGATCATCGCCGGCGCCGTCAAGGCTTTCTACGAGAAGCACAGGTGTCTGCCCGTCCCTGGCGGCCTCCCGGACATGAAGGCGCAGTCCAGCGTCTACATACAGCTCCAGGGAATCTACAAGGCCAAGGCACGCAAGGACGCCGCCGAGGTGCTCGACTCGGTCCGCCGCGCCCCAGGGGGCGAACACGTCGACCCGGCAGAGGTAGATTTGTTCTGCAAGAACGCAGCCTTTGTCAAACTGATCGACGCGAAAGACGGGGGGGCCGAGAGATTACTCAAAGTAGCCGGTAAGTGCGGGATGACACGCGTCGGAACATGACAACAACAGGGGAATCTCGTTCCAGGGTCTTCTACGATGATGCAATGACATCCCTGGGGCGGCCCTGCTCATCTTGTGTGTGTGCGTGTGTGTTTATGCGTGTCTGCGCGCGAGAGCAGCAGGCGGGCGGCGGTCGTGGTGGCGACGCTTCAAGAGCACAGGCTGACTCGGTGCACAAAATTTTGTACAGATGAAGAACTCGCCAACGATGACATGGCGGCCATGGGCGTCATGCCCGCGTCCCTGCTCCCCATCTATCTCGCCCTGCGCGCCACGTCACACGCCCTCGACACTGCCGCTGCTGGGGCGGCGCTGTCACCCGAAACCATCCTCAAGGACGTCACGGCACTCGTGCCCAGGGCCACAGAGAGCGAGCGCTACGCTCAGGCGGCTCAAGAGGTGTTCCGAGCCGCCGGCGGAGAGCTGCACAACGTTTCCGCCGTCATGGGCGGCCTGGTGGCTCAGGAGATGATCAAGATTATTACGAAACAGTACATCCCCGTCCATAATACCTGCATATTTGACGGCATTGGAAGCCGTTGCCAGGTGCTTCGCCTGTAGACCCGGGCAGCCGAGCCAGAAATTGCGGCACCTACGATAAAGAAAGGGTCCACAGTCTCGACCAACCCCCCTCCCCCCTTCCCGGCCCCTTTCGATCACCTTTTTCCTCTCCTGAACGCTCATGGCACCCCTCCCCTACCACCTAGATTTTGCACGCCCCTCACTCACCCTCTTTCTCTCTCTTTCCCTTTTCTACCCCTCCTTCTCTACCTTGTTCGGAGTCGGAGCCTCGCCGACGGAGAAGGAGGGTCATGTGCGGAATCCGGAGGAGGCGTTTTGTGGCCGCAGGCGGTGGCTTGAGAAAACAAGGCGAAGGGGGTAAAATAAAATCAGAGGAGGAAGCGGGATATGTAGGTAAGCCCCTGACGGAATGGGGCGCCAGACTAGCTTGTGAGAACCAAATCACCCCCTCCACCCACGCGGAAGGAATTCCTCGGGAGGGCTTGCAAGAGACAGAGAGAAGGGGAGAATATCAAGACGAAGAAAGCCATCATCGCGCCGCCCCTTCACAAGGCGTAACGGGATATACTGGTCGTCATCGGCCTTTGCAGGGACAAGAAGCCACCCCCCCTCGATCACTTTTCGAGACCCCTGCTCCTTCTCTCCGTAGAAGCTACCATCTGAGTAGCGTGTGAATACCACCGACATGGCCCTTTGTTAGATGCGCCGACCTACCGGCCGGCCGACTGACCGCCCTCTCTTTCTCAAGAAGCCCATGTCACCCCGCGGGAAGCTCATTCGGCACTCTGTTGGAGGGGTCCCCGGGGGGGGGGGGGGGGGCGACAGTAACAATGACCGGGGGTGGGTTCACGGGTTGGCTGGCCTGCTCTCTCGTCCTGGCGCCGATCCCTTCCCCCCGCGTGTTGTGATGAGAACCCTAAACCGAGCAGGAGAGCCGGCCCCTGGATGATGCGGTTGCTTTCTTAGCCTTGCGCCCCCCAGCCCTCTCTCCATTTCCAGTACAGTAGTAGTGTCTCACCACTTTCCCGGAAGAACTATTTCTTCGCTCTCTCGCCTTTGTCTCACATTTCGGCTCGACAATTCAGCGCCCACCTCCCAGGTGCTGTGTCAGCTGAACTCAAACCAGGCCACGTTCTTGCTGCCGCCGCCCAACCACACCACGCAGCCTCCCACCACATCCAACCAAGGAGTCGCCAAACGCGAAGCCGAGATAAGTAACGCGCAATGCTTCAAGCAAATGTGATAAAATTTGGGGAAATGGCCCAGGGCGGGGAAAGCGAACAGGGTAGGACAAGGGGGGGAGGGGTATACGTATGAGCCGGGGCGTGTAATCGGTCGGCCCCCCCTCCCCCCTTCTCCTCCCCCGGTTCCCAACGACAGAAAAAGAGGCGTCTGGGGTTCACAAGGTCCGGGGGCCAAAAGGATCTGTGTCGCATCGCCCATCGTTGGGGTAAGCAAGCCAGATCCCTCACAAGCCGTGGGGTGTGGGTGTGCAAGTGTGTTTGAGAGTGGGTGAGCGGTTTCTGGTGTGCGAATGTAAACATGGGTGTAAACTAATGTGTCCTGATGATGTGCATGTAGTCCTTTTCATGGGGAGAACGATCCCTATACCTGACGATGGCCGCTAAAGAAGGCGAGAAGGCGAGAAGGCGACGAAGCACCACTGTGTCGACAAGTCTTGGTCTGCGTGGCCGTTGCGGTGTTGCGCCTGTGTCCAAGCGCTTCTACCCTCCCCATATATGTATCAAAACTCTTCGGCCTCCAGCTTTTAATCACTGGTTTCGCCTCGCTTTTGTGTATTGCATCGGGTGTGTGAAAGGCGGAGGACTTGCCAGTTTTACCATCTCATTTCGTCTCAGTAAAGCCTCCGGCCCAGGAGGCCTACCACAGGGCAACATACGCATAGACCAAACACATGACTAAGCCTCACCGTAGACTTACTTTACCCTTCGTGGACGGAGATCATCATCGGACCGCAGGCCCTTGCAGGATGTGACGCTGAAGGATCACAGAATGCGGAGGTGGCTGCCCTCCCTTACAAGACATGATGTGCCCCTCAGAACACTAAGGGAACGTGAGCCGGACGAGAAAATTACACGCGGGGCAGAAGATGAGATGCACTTCTTCATCGACGACCTCATCAACTCGGCCGCCCGGTCGGGCGAGATTGTGCCGTTTCCCTCTGCAGAGGTCTTCTCTTTGGCTCTCTGACTCGGACGGCCCTCAGCCCTCATCCGGTCTACCTCCGTGGCTGCCATGGCTTAGCGGATCGTGGCATCTCGAGTCGCACAGCTGGGGTATGGGCGCCTAATATGCACGACTCGTAGTATGCCTCGGCGTACGGATTCCTGCAGCGTAGAGACAGGACCATAAGCCTGTCGTCGGGATTTCGGGACGACATCACGGCTACCTTAGAGCATGAGCCGTATCGTCACGTGCCCCGGTAGTGTGGCAGAGCCTCCGACGGATGGTAACACGCCGGTGACACTTCGACAGGCTGATGAGTAATGAGTCAAGCTCAAACTTGAGGAACGGGTAGCAGCAGTATTGGTATGAGTGGCTAGAAAGCTGAGCAGGCAGGCCGTTCATCAAAGGGTTCAGGCAGAGAAAGCATAGTGAGGCCTCATGATGAATGACGGGAGGCGTCAGTGAGGCGCTGTGTTGAAACGCCTTTGCATTTGGGTTCTTCCCGGAACAATCTCCGAGCTTGTCATCAAGCCCCTGAATTCAGTAGATCCTCACGAAACGGACAGGTTGAGGGAAATTTGCAGGCAGCCGGCGGCCATGCCGAAGTTGTGTGCGTCATTGTGGCGAGCGCAGCGGACAGTAATACAACGTACAACGAAACAGTGTGATAGCGGCATGTAGCTTTAGCAAATACTGGTGCTCAACACACCAGAGGCTGTCGACATGAATAGGTTCATTATAAGAAATGACGAGGCTTCGGATGGCTTCCCGAAGCTCGCTGTCAAAGGCGTGTCGCGGCATTTTCTGGCGTAGCCGCTGAAGAACCCCGTGGAGATCGGGCTGCGTCGCATTTCGTGGAGGCTCAGACCGCATGATTTGCTGGTGGGTGTGGAGAGGCGACAGGACGACGCGTATGGTCTGGCGGTAGGCCTGCAGACTTGTCAGTTGTCGAATTTGCAGGTCTCCTGCATGGCCCATAACAGAGGTTTTTGTGCCACATCTGAGTACGCATGCGAAAGATCCAGCCACAAGTGAAAGGGATAGGTAAAAGCACAGAGCCAATGTCATGAGGAAAATGAAGGGATGATCATGGTGTTCATGCTCGGTATACCAGTAGACCGGCAGAGCCCGCATCACTCAGTGAAGTGCGGTGTTTCGACAGAGCTCTCAGAGTTTCCACCCGGGAGTGCCCGTCAGACAGCAATGTATTCCGACTTGAAAGGACAAACGGGACGAATGGCCTGGAGCCGAAACCCGTCGGCTGTTGTAAATTGATGAAAAAGCCCAGCAGGCACTGTTTCGTGCCGTGCCGGTAGCGGTAGCGGTACCAGACTGGGCCATGCATACTTTGAGCACGTGTTAACAGTAAGAGACCGGCGTTGCAGAGATGAAAGGGAAAGCGCAGCCGATGCGCGTCGCGCAGTAGCACAAACAAGATTTGTCCGTAGATTCTCCTCCTCCGTTGTGGCCAGAGGTGACGGATGATTCGCAATGTTTGTGTTGTGTGGAGCGTGACTGATTGTGCCTGGCACTCCTCTTCTTTGCCACGTGTGGAGAGGCATTCGAAGCGATGGCAGCCGAGCACTGCAATCAGTACGGACATCCAGAGCTCCCGTTGACCCGTTGGAGGTGGCTCCATTTCCCCAAACCTTTGGCAAGTAGCAGCTTCCCCATGCAGATAGTCCGTCAGTCTTCTCCGCAGCTTGAGCCACAGGACAGGTGATCTGGATGAATGCCCGTATACCTTGTCCTTGTCATCAGACCGCCTTGGGTCCCGAAATCGGGCAAGGATGCGAAAGATCGACCCCTCGAGAGGCGGTTAACACACCGACTTAGTGTGAAGCTATAGCAGGAGACCGGAGACCAGAGACCCTTCACACCTCTTATGTTCTTGGCAAGTTGATGCTTAGAGCAAAGCTCAGAGCAGGTCCGTCGTAGACTACCTGTTACGGTCGATATCTCAGGGTCGTATCGAGGAATGTCATGCTGACAACAAGCAAGTCTCGAACCGGGCTGTACCAGCAGACTCGTACGACGCTTATGTTTGCGGCTCGCCCAGGCTTTGAGATAATTAAGGCACAGGCTTGGCTGAATCGCATGGTGCTCGGAAGCCGAACCGATGATTGAGATCCAGCAGGGCGGCAAGTCTCATTTGGAGGGAGTCGAGTCGAGGCAGCCAGCCGGTTCAAAGTTGGGTCTGGTCAACGGGCAAGGGGCTTAAGCAGGAGAGCCACAACTGGGCAGTACCTGTTTGGTTTGGTTCGGGCCATGTCTTCGCACCACGCATACTAACGCCGAAGACAAGCTGGTAAACACTGGGGTACGCAGGTGCATATAGCCGGGACGCATTAGCGACGAGTCGCGATGAAAACAGCTGCACCTGACCAGACGCATGCGTGAAAAGAAGAAGACACGGGCCCGTGTTGTCCAAATTCTTGAAGAACTTGCGGTCTTGTTCGCTATGTCAGGCATTTCGTCCGAGGTTCGTCCAGAGCAGGAGTAAATCTGGTACAGATTATGTGGGTCGGATGGTCTTGCCTGTGTCTCTTCCGCTTTCTCCGGTATTGGGGAAAGTTGAACGTATCACGAGAGCAGCAAGGCTTTTGTTGACTTGCCTGATGTGCCCTTGGAGTGGCTTGCATATGCCCAGCCTGGACGCCGTGATGTACCAAGTTGAGGTGTGTGTACCTGTGTGTCCCTGGCCCCCATGCCTCGTTGGCTGAAGAGCCGGGATGCGGGGTAAGGTCTGGCAGGATATGTATTCCTGTGTAGAGACCGTGGGACAAGCGTCGTGGCGCAGGCGGGTGCGTTGTACGCAAGCAAGAGAGAGGGACAGGCAGCTCGAAGGCGCT